TTTGTCGTAAGGCTGATTGCTAACTTTAAAGGGATGCCTTAGAGTCGCAGAAAACAGCTATCTTTGAGGCCGGGCTTTCACAATACAAAGTATAGCAGCACATAAGGCGGCAAGCTCTACTGATGTTGATGTTGTCCTGTGGGATACTTTGAATTTTATAGTGACTTGGTACGCCCACATAACAGCACCTGTGGAGCTTTCAACAAGGGCGATCCATCGGTATAAATGTGGGTCCTTTGGCCGCATTCTTCGTTGAGTAGCGACAATGTCGCCTGTCGCAGTACTGCTGTTGAATGATGGCTCTTCGTTATTCTCCGAATAGTGAGATGCACCTGTGGTTATTGTAGGCATCACACAGGTGACAGTGGCCTTGCTGCTGGAGTTAAGCTTGATGAAAGGCATTCTCTATGAGCGGAAATAATCTTTGAAAACATCGCTTGTGGTCTTTGAAGCGGTAACTCAGTTAAATGGTGACCGGGAATTCGGCAGAGGTGTCTTATGTGGGCTCTTAAACTGTCAGTGGTGATGTATGCTTGAATTGGATGCTCTCTTGCGATCATAATTGTCCCGTAGGTTGAGGTGAAGCATAGCAATCCTAAGCACATGCATATATAGTGTCTGTCCTTGCAGACTTTCGAGAGTGCGGATGTTCGTCTTGCATGTACTTGCCAGCAACGGCAAGCTGTAGCATAAAAATTCCAGTAATAATGCTCTGTATAGCTGCATCAGTGAACTTATCGATGTGCCCCAAGATTTGTCGCTTAGGAACCGCATTATATGAACGATGGAAGTTGACCTCCTTTTCAGGTAAGTATTGTGGGCACTCCACAAAAGGTCCCTGTCATAATCACACCATGGAAACGATGATTATTGTGGTATGCAACCTTTTGTCCATTGATGGTAACAGGGTATGGTGTCATGGCCCTGCAAGTAAATGCAACCAATATGCGCATTTCTCTGTTGAGACGGAAAGACGTTGCTTGAGTGGATACCATGTCAGGATGGCAGCCTGCTGGAGTCTCGCATGCACTTGCAGATGGGTCACAGCTGAGGACCACAAACAAATATCGTCAGCATATATGGAGATGTGGATAGTACTTGGCAAAAGTTGATGAAGACTTATTATCACGAGGTTAAACAATGTGGGGCTCAATATGGCACCCTAATGGTCGCCACAGGAGGTATAGTAATTGGCAGTAGGTCCATTTTCTGTCTGTACAAAAAAGATTATGGACCATCTCTCCGACAGGAACCCTGATGGAAAGCGAAGCAGCAGCGGCGCGCACGGCGTTAACCTGGTTGAAACGTGCGTCGACGCGGGTGCTGAAAGAACAGTTGAGTTCGGCATGTTCCGGCGGGTGAGGCGGGTAGCGGTAACCGTGCGTATGACGCTCACAGTCGGAACCCAATTGCCCGACGTCAGCGACTCTTTGTTAGTGGTGCAGACCGAAGTAGGATGGGTCCGCGCGCCAAACTCGCGTCGAACCACTTTGGTCGCCACCTCCAGCTGCTTGCGAACGGAACCGACGTTGGACAAGTGGTTGTCGAACCATAGACGGTCGCATGCGTGGCAACTATGACCGAAGCTACGTTGGAGGAACTCTCCTCGGAAGCAGCCATCGGCCCTGGCATTGCTGGCGGCGTCGTGGACAGCTACTGCCGCGCGCGGATGCGATTGGCGTTGCAGCGACGAGATGCCTCCGGATCGGCCGGTGGAGCTCGGCGCTTTCGAAACGCTGCCGACGACGGCGACGTCGGGGATTCGCCGGCGTTGGTCTTCCGCTGTCAGCGCTTACGCTCTCCTTTCTTGGCTCGCGTCACAGAACACCTACCAGTTGCTCGCATCTCGTCAATGTTGCCGACACGTTGAAAACGCTTGCTCTCGGCGTTCCTTTGCTCACGTCTCGTCGGTGTTAACTGCGCGCCATCTTCATTCATGAACGGTATCGACATGCTTATTGACTCGCACTTCGTCGGTGTCGTTGGTTTTCCACTCACTGCCAACGCTTCTGTTTGGTTTCCCTGGAGCTCGCGCCTGGTCGGTGTTACAGGCGCGACGTCGCCATTCAAGAACGCGATCGGCTCTGCTAACCCTTGCAACGCCGGCGACAGCCGGGTTAGGCCAAATCGCTTCGGCGCATGTTTCGGCGGGTGAAGAGGCCTCGCTTTCCGGCGTCTTCTCCATCGCAGATAAACGAGCCCAAAGAGTGTTCGTTCGATGTGCGCTCGAACACTGCGAGTGCTGGAGAGGCTGAAGCGAGAGAGAGGTTATGCGCGGCGAGCGCGCGGCAGATGAAGGAGAGTGTGACGCCACCGCGCACTGCAGGGGAAGGCATGATCTACTTGGTATCTCCCCAACACCTGCAACGAGGAAAGTGCGGTGCAGCGCGCTGACACAGAGACATGGACGGACGGCGTTACACAGGCTAGTCAAAGCGCTGCTTCGCCTCTAAAAGGACCTTCTCGTCAAAAAATCCTGGATTCATTGGAACATCCAATCTATTTTTTCTGTCAGCCTCCAACGATGTCAAGGATGTCATAATTTGTTACATTTTCATATGCCCCTTTGACATCAAGAAATAGTGCCAGTAATATGCGCTCGTGGCACTTTTATTGCTGGATAAATGGACTGATGACCTACCTCACTGAAAGCCCACCATGCAGTGTGGGTACACGTCTTAGCACTCAAGATACCATTCTAGGCGTGTAAGTATCATCCTTTCCTTGACTTTCCCTGCACAACTTGCTAGGGCAATTGGGCGAAATGAATGTCAAATCGAATGGGGACATTCCTGGTTTGGCTCGCCTGCCATGAGTGGTTGTAATAACATAACAGCTTTCCCCTAGCCTCCTGTTGAAGGTTGGCTATTGCGGCGTAGGTGATGCCATTGGGCCTTAGTGAAGATGATCGTCAGGAAGCAGCCAAAGATGCATCAAGTTCTATAATGAAATCATTGTCCAGTTCCGGGGATGCGGGGCTCAGGGAAAACACTCTTAACTGTGGAAGCAGACATCATGAACACAACAGCGATTTGCACACAAAACTCATTCGCCACTTCAAGTTGGGTGCGGCCTAAATGTAGGGCTGAAGCCATGAAAAGATGTCTTTGTAGAGGAGTCGAGCGCAGGCCATGAATAGTGCTCCAGATGCGTGTCAACGGCTTTTGAGGATCCAATGACTCACAAAATGATTTCCAGTGTTGCTGTTCAAGTTTGCACAAACGGTGTTAGACCTTCTTTTGTATGCGTTGTGCCAGCCTAAAATCACATATTGCTTCGTGCGTATGCATCTCCTTTCCACCGTTTGGCAAAGCACACACTGTTTTTCTAATCCAACTTCCGTAGCCAACTACGGTTTTTGGCAAACGGGAAAAGACAGGAAACTTCCCTCATCACCTCTTTGATGACATTCCACAAGTTATAGTCAGGGTCTCCACGGCATGCATTTACCATGAGTCGCTGTAATTTGAACCAATCTATTCTTCGTATTGTGGTAGGGGAAGAGTTTGTAAAGCCTCTTATTCACACATAAGTTGGAATATGGTCACTGCCATGTGTTTCAATGTCTGAAAACTGCTGTACGTAAGGCCCTTAGGTCGTGCTTGGAGGCGAATGACATGAGGTTTCTTTCTTCAGCGCTGATCCTCAAACTACCCTAGATTAAGTGATCCGCATTGAAGTATTAAATAAAGTGTACATGTGATAAGAGCATTTGTAAATGTACATGTGTACATCTCTTTCTCAAACTTATATCCTGAATGTATCACTATTTAAAAACTCTTTAAAAGCTGCACTTAAATTTCACGTGAAGGTGCATAAAAATTGTCAGCGATTTTTTTGTGAATCTCTACCTTTGAATGCTAGTGGAGATTAAAATTGCACCAAAACTCAATTGAACAAATATGAATGTAATGGTTGATGGATTATAATAAAGTTAATGAATAGTAAACTATAATAATAATATATTGTGTGGTTTAACATCCCAAAACAATTATATGATTACGAGACAATGTAGTGGAGGGGTCTAGAAATTTTGACCTCCTAGGGTTCTTTAACGTGCACCTAAATCCAAGTACATAGGCCTCGAGCATTTTTGCTTTAATGGAAAATGCAGCTGCCGCAGCCAGGATTTGCTTTCGCGACCTGCGGATGAGCAGACAGGCGCCAAAACCAAACGACCGCCTTGACCTTGGCAGGTCGAATAGTGAAGCATGAAGTCTTGCCACAGTGCTGCAAACACTTGAAACAAATTTTTAGACTTACAGTAGACTCTCAGTAAACGGAACCTGAAGGGACCGGGAAAATATGTTCCATTTAACAGGAGTTCCGTTTACTGAGAGGTGAACATGGGTGCAGAACACAAGCCTAAAACCAAGCACTGCAGAGGGAATTGTTCCTTTCAAGTAGTAGTTCCCATGAACAAATTTCAGTTTACTGAGAGTCTACTGTAACAAATTCATTTTCATGACAATGCGGCTATATAACAATGAGATTCGACTGTGTTCATTGGTTTGTTTCAATGGAATTGACATTTTAAAATATTTGTGGACCACTTATAATAATGATTAGCATCTATTTGATTTAAAGACAGATATTGTTCCAACCTAATATTGAAAAATTTCAAATATTTGTACGCTTTCAGTAAACATAACCGTGCCACAGTTTTCCTTTTGTTCACATGGCTGGTGTACAAGCCATGTAGATGGGTGGATAAGCAAGAAAGCTAAGTCCTAGTTACTTACTTTTCTTTTTGGGGGGTGGGGTGGGGAATGGGCTGAGGTAGAGCTTTACATGCAAAGTGTAAAATGCTTACATCTGCTTGCGATTATCTGCATTAGTTAAATGTGTCCACAAATGTTATGTTGATAAATTAATTCTATAAAAGTTCCAAGCACACGCGTAGATTTTGTGCTGGTTGCATGTTACCGACTGTAACAACAGTTATATGCTCTCTTTTCGCTATCTCAAAACTTCGATAGTCATTGCATAAAGAAGCAACATAGTCTGAATATTTTTATTGAAACAAAAATAGACATCTTTGTTACCACATTACAGTGACTATACACATATACATAGTGAAAGGGATCATGCGGTAATACATATATACATACTGTTCCATGAACAAGCAACTACATTTAAAATATTCATGACACAAAGGTAGAACTCCGGCATCAGATGAGCCTCAATTTAAAACTAATTTCACACTACTGCTTTAGATGCGTGTGTTATCGGGCCTTTTTAAAGGGCCACTCACCAGGTCCCATACCAAACTTTAGTTAGACAGTGGAAGTTGTTGGGTGTCCGGTGAGGAACATTTTGCCACAAAAATTTTTTGAATCGGTTCATCACGAGCGGAGAAAACGGGTTTTTTGATGTGGCGTGAAACGAGGATGAGAGGAGGCGAGCTCGAAACCCTTGCCGCACTTCCGCTTAGCCTTCGTAGTCCAAATCTATTCCCCACCCTCTCCGGCATCCGACCCGGAGATAACGTGCGCATTACGTGCCTAAACAAGTTCAACCCCCGAGCACGCAAGCGGCGTCGCTTTGTTGAACAGCATCATTTTGTGGTCTTCTGCCTGTTTCTGTGGGATGGTTTGGAAACCCTGGCTTATACGTGGTAGAATAGATTAGCACAATGAGTGCGCAAACGTGTAGGAGCGTTCCACGGAGGTCGTCTGCTCAATGCGCTGACCGCGGGTACACGAACGCATGCGAAACGCCGGCACATTAGCCCCGCATCTCATTGAAATTCACAGGAGAAAATGGGAAAAAGATGCTCACATTCCTTAATTTCGTCTCATTATTTATCTAGAGCTTTACTAATTTCTTCAAGCAACAAATTACATAAACTATGCATGCCGTGCTAAATAATTTTCGCCATGTCACGTGCCACTGTTTGCAACAACAGAGCTGAGTGGTCTACGTAGGACCAACGTCACTGCATTGCCGTGTACATAGGGCCATTCATACGCGCACGCCATGCCCTCATTTTCTAGGCGCGCGCCAGCAGGAAGGAGTGGGAGCAGCGTTCATCTTAAAATTTGACCCATTTCTGTGGCGCGCAGCGTTGCAAATTTTGGCAGATGTGATTATGAAGGCCTCGTCTATGCATTGCGCTTGTTAGCTCAAAATTGTCAAACCTGGTGAGTGGCCCTTCAACGAGAGGAAGCCACATAAAGTTGACCAAGCTGCCATACTGTATCCACGTGACCATAACAAATAGTTGTGCTTATGGAAAAGGCTCTAAGGCGCTACGATATACCCAAAAGCCGACATTCTGTTGCAGAAAGCTAAACATAATGCCAATATCCACAGCAGAATCTTAGGAGCTTCATGAAAAATCCCATTCATTTTGGAACCGACCTTAGAGTCAAATTATCTTACAAGTGTTTTCCATTTTTCTCACTTTCTGGGCATCATGTTCTAACTATTGAAAACTGTAGGGTAGAGTTTCTGCCACATCTAGAAAAAACTGCGCCCACACTTCTTAATGCTCGATGAACCACAATCAACTGTATTTGCTTCCAGTCGCAGAGATTCGATACACCAAGTACAAAGCTGTATAGGGTAGTTACAAAGCAGCACGAGCTCACAGTCTCCTTTGGCTATAAGTGACCAAGAGGCGTGCATTATGTGTCGAGAAAAGGCAAAGTCAACAGCTCATCCCATTGTAGCCTTTCGGCAAAGAACTCATACCCGCAGTTGGTTCAGAACGCTGTAAATGACTCGGACAAATGTGCTGTTATGGCAAAACCTTTTATGCCCCAATGCACCCCACACGACTGCTAAAAAAAGATTAAGAATTTGTGTTTCTAGTGCATGTCACACGCACTGTATTCACCGGACCGGTCATGAAATATGTCTAATACATGCTGTCGTTTAGGGGGAAAAGTTGAAATTGCATTTTTAGTACAGCAGTCATGCAGTCTTCTTTTCTCTTTTTCATGTAGAATACTATACAGGTGGTTGTTTTCACACATACGCAATCATAAAACAGTGGGGCGGGCTGAGGGTGTAATTGTTGAAAAGTGACGGGAATATATATTTTTTTTCCGATCTTCCTATTTACAGTGAAAAGGAATAAATAACCGTTACCTGTTAAAGAGGCCAAGTAGATTGTAATGCTGCACATTTATAAACCTTGCAAAGCCTGTTGTGCATCACAAAATAATATAGTTTCACACAAAACTTTATGAAAGGGGCCAAACAAAACTTTCAGAACATGAGCACTGAACACCTCAAGCACAATTAAATGCACGATTACACTTTGTCAGCTTTGGAAACAATAACAAAAAAAACTTTTATCAGAGTGATACCTATACTTATACACAATTTCCAGCTTCTAATCAAGCTACTGATACAGAAAACTTGCTAAAACTTTGGTGAATCTATACTGCGTGACAATTTCAGCTACAAGAATCTAATATCATACAACATATGGTTATTTCTTAATGATTCAGCTCATCAAACGGCGCTTCCTGAAATACATTGCTTTAAGAATCCAGTAGCGTGGCAGTGACACCCACAGTATTTTATTTACAAGAAACAGTTGCGTTCAATACACACCAGGCTAACGCTGTTACGCTGTGTGCAATCACCTGCAGCTTGAAGCGACCATCAAGTAGTAATGATAGTGAAATGTAAAAACGCAAACAAGCGAAGGCACTGCAAGCTTCCTTTCTGAAGGGTGGCCGTGGCGTAAACAAAGATCAAGTACTAAGAGGCACCTTCTGCAGTTCATGTCAGAGTGCAAAAGATGTTAGATACGAATGGGTGATAAAGAAGTCACCCCATCAATCAAGGAGGTATCCACGCAGACACCACAAAGCAGAGCCAAGTAAGTTTTTTGACAACTAAAATCACTCTCAAATACCGAAGTTTACAACATACATCCGCTTGCATGTGTATATATATATATATATATATATATATATATATATATATCGTAATTTCTAAGGATGGGCGAGCATTCCAGCGCTTCAAATATTCAAACGGATGTTATACAATTTGAATTCACTGCAACACAGATTTAAGTTACGTGAGACCTTGAAGTACTATTCGAGTTGAATGAATATATGTATATATTAGGATGCAACTCTTTCCCTGTAAAGGTGATTTCACTGCAGAGTGCAGTGCTATACATATCGTGAAACCATCCAATCAAAAAAAGTTTGCACTGCCATGAAGCTACACTTCAAGGTTAAGGGTACATGTTACGTAAATTCACCTTAAAATACTGTTTCTGAAGTTGAAAACTGTCATACGGGCTTATATGTGCCCAGTATCTACTATCAACTAAGTATAGTAAATTTCAAAACATAAACAGTACCACTTACAACTTGCACCCTGTTGCTATTCAGACCTTGCAGCTATTCAAACTAGCTCCCACTTGATTCTGAACCAAACAAGTGATTTTCAGACATGCCCATTATATAAGTTAGCTGGGTCATGACAAAAATGCTCTTTTTTTATATGTGATATAAATTACTCAAACCATTCGCTAGGAAATTATTCATCTAAATCACTATTCACCCCGAACCTCAAATTTACTATGTATTTGCCCATCCCTAGTCTCATTTAAAATCCATACATAAATCACTAAGTGTATTCATGTTCCAATCGGCACTACAGCATGTGCCACAAGTATTCACTGTTCATTATAGTATGTACATATAGCTGCTTTAAGATTTCTAAAGCACGTGAGTTTTAACGCCACACTAAATAAACTAGACGATCTCTTTTCTTTTTCTTCGTGTTTAAAATGGTGGCAGAGGGTTCGTTAGGTACAGCAGGGTTGCTGTCTCTGCAGGCTGCAGCATGGCTGTTGAGATCTGTCCAATTACGTCGCATGTGTCCTGAATGGGCACGGTTGTTATGACATGCTCCAAGCCAGGCACCTCGGCCACTGGTCCAGACATGGCAGGGGCTGTGCTTCCAAGGACATCTAATTTATTTAAAAAGAAAAAAAGACATGAATAACAAAGTACATATGAAAGTACATGTACTCAAAGTACTCAAAGTACATGTGAATAAGTGAGAGTACTCAAGGCATATGTGAAAGTGTGCGCATTTTTAGTGAAATCACCTCGCACACTTTTGTTACAGGCTGTACAACAATTCAATGAGCAGTAATGATTGAGCATACACTTTCGATGTTCAATGCTGGAGGGTGGGGTGAGAGGTGGAGTCAGGAGCACAGTTCCTGCAGCTTCAACCGATAAATTACTCTGTGTACCTGGTACTGCTGATACCCATGTTGCTATTTACACCGTTACGCAACAGTAAACATCGTATGTTTAACATATGTCTGGGCATACAATTGTACATATCTTTAGCATCATTTCGTAATGTTTCAATCAATACAGAAGCCACAACACAGTCACCTTTCCTTCGCATGCTTCGCACAACATCTATTCCCAAGGTACGTGGGATTTGCCGAATTTTTTTACCTTGAAATGTTGTTGGAGCATGGATTTGCTCCTCTGGTAGTGGCAGTGATGTGGGTGGAAGTAGATGTGTCTGCCCTGGCTGCTGGTGCTGTTGTTGCTGCTCGGACGGCGGCTGGTGGAGCTTCTGGTGCCGTTTTAATGCATACTGAGTGTTGAACTTCTTGGTGCAGCAGCTGCAGCAGAATGCCCGTGGGTTGTTGTGAACTGACTGAACGTGCTTGCGTTGCACGGAGCGCGTCTTGAAAGCTGAGCCGCAGATTTCGCACAGAAATGGTCTCGCCGTTGAGTGAATCGCTTGGTGCTCCGAGAGGTGCGAGTGAGTTCGGAAGACCTGTAAAAATGGTAATTTCATTGTGAAGTGTGCTACCCCGCAAGCTGGAAATGTTGGATATGCCAATCACAGCTGTGGTCATCAACACGACAAAATTGTAACTATGAATTGAGAGCTTCTGACCTCCTCATGTCTTTACGTGTTGGACTGTCAGTTTAACACACAGTAACTATAGGCCACTGTTTTCTTTTAGTGAAACAGACATTAGCTACAGACAGCACTCCAGTCTGTTTACCTTGTTACATGCCCTGCAGTTGCACAGGAGTGAAATTACAAAAGAAGTGCGCCAGCTCACCATGTAAACACTGTGGAAACAGCAAAGCTAATGCCCCCTTTGTCCTGATCACCCTCACCCATGTTTGCCTCGGATTACTTCACCCTTTCCACCGAACCTCGACACTCCCCCTCTTAGCTAACCTCTTATTGGTTCATCCTTTCCACCAAGCCTCGCCCTCTACCATCCTGGCACCTTGCGGCCTTTCGTAATCTATTGAAGCACACTCTCGCAACACTGCAAGACCCAGAGACCAGCACCTCGTTAACGAACGGGGAAACTTCGACTGAAAACAGCTTTGCCCCTGAAAGAATACCAGTAGCAAGAAGAGCAGACAACAGACCCAAAACGCTGACAAGAAACAAAATGCAAGGACACGAGAATAAACAGTTCCTGCTCCTTCTTTTTCTGAAGCTCTATTCTCAATATGAGGGAGCATACAAATGAGACATCTCCTCGATTCAACAATCAGCAGGGCAATGTTATACTAGGCTATGAAAGCAGTGCCACTGGAAGGCAAGAAACAGACGTGACGTGTTTTCAAGAACAAGAATCGAAAGAATTCCATGACAGTCAGTGCCCATGTGGTTCAAGCAAGGTGAAACAAAGCTATGAATCATGATATTCACCTTGAAAACAGTGCAACAGCACGAGTACGAAGAAGGAAGAAACAATGGGACAGGCGCTGGCTGACCAGCAACTACAGTTGAACCTTTTTATAAAGACTTGCGCTGGGCAGCAATTTTTGTCTTTTATATTAGGTGTCTCCTATTATTAACAGGGAATCATGTATACACTTTTTTATCAACCTCTATTTCAGTGTAGGACAGGTGTATTTTATACCCAATTGCCTGGTACATCAGTGTCTCTTATAAAGGGGTTCGACTGTATGATACGTACTATGACCCACGAGTGCAACCATGATCTTCTGCAACTTTCTTCAGTAACTTAACTTCAATGTATTAGAAAAACATGAAAAATATTAGAAAAATTACCCGATCTCATTAGAATTCAGAGACAACATTCGAATGCGCTTCGCACCTGAAAGGTTATTATTCACACAGCTTTAACTACAAGGTTTCCACAGCATTATCATGAGGTTTATTGCTGTTTCACTATAATGCCATTAGTGTCACTTAGGAGGCTTGCACAAAACGACGCAATAGACAGGGCGTCAAGAAGTGACAGACTACACCCTGACACCATTATCACTGGAATGCTTTTTGCTGCAGTCATGAACTAATGAGAGCCTAAATAAGTGTGCTTGCGCAGCGTCATACTGTACCATGGAGTTTACTGTTATTGTAACCAAGGCTCGCGTAAAGGGCTTCATTTCTTTAATAATCCTCTACTTTAGCAACAACCCAGTTTCATTTGGCATTCATCACTGAATGCAGACAGTACCCACCTTGTGGCATTGTGAGCAGGGGAATGACGCCAAAGGGGCACCCTCATTGGGCCCAGCGTGTGTCAGATGGTGCTGGCGTAAGGCATCCGCCCGCTTGAAAGCCTTACCACAACGGTGGCACAGGAATGGGCGCGCCCCTCCGTGGACATTGGCTCGGTGCCGCACAAGGTGCTCCTTGCGATGCGTCTGGTAGCCACACTGGGTGCACTGGTGCAGGGGCGCGCTGCTTTGGAGCGCACCACTGTCACCTGCATGACGTTGACGGTGTCTGGCAAGCAGCAGTGGCCGGGTAGTACGGTAGTTGCAATGGGGACATTCCATGGGCTGCAGTGCAACACGGAGGACAAATTGCAACTTTAGAAAAAGCAAGATTTATCTTAAATGCTTGAGACAGCTCACTTTGAAAGAAATGCAGTAGTGCATGGAGGATGATCAACATTTTGAGGATGTAATCAAGCATGCAATAAGTGTTGCATAAACAGGAGTGGCTGGCTTACACAACTTCAAACCAAACGACTGGTGACATTTCCATTCATATACTTTCCAAACACATAGCATTTTAAAAAATAAACAGCTTCAATCATATTTGCCTGTGTTGCTTCCAGTAAAGCTGAAGTTCATGCTGTCTGCCACAGCATCATTAAAAAAACACCGATTTCACTGTTGCTAGAGTCACTGTATGTGGTCTCTACGAGATCAGAGTAGCACATAGGTCTGCCATCTTGCCTTGTTAACGACCGTAGTTACGCGGCGAAACCGCGCTCTGGTTTTGCAAACGTCTTGCTTAAGCCTGTTGCCGTTCGACGAAGCATGTCGCCGATCGCCAGTTGATGTGCCTGGCGTGTCAACGACTGGCAAAGAAAGAAGAAATACCTGCTTTTGGGACTGTGCTATGGGAGTTCAAAAGGGCCTAGCATAGTGCCAAATGACATGTACTGCTGCTGCAGCACGGTCAAGTGGCGCTAGCTATGAAAGGTAACCAACAACTCACAAACACAAAATATAGGTCTTCTGAGATTCAGGGAGCGCCCCACTAAGCCTACAGCATTTATTATTTCAATATGTTTTTTGAAAATGGTGCCGAATCCACGCAAATACTTTGCTGTTTGAAGGGGCCCTGCAACACTTTTTGAGCCTGGTCAGAAAATGCTGCCGATCGGTAGTAGAGGCTGTCGACAACACGCGAGCCAAATTTCATAGCGCAGCAAGGGGGCTGGAATTCCCAATAAATTATCAAACTCAGCTAAAAATTGCTTTCTCTTCTCTTGACAAATCACACAATAAGCCCAAAAATCACTCGTAGTTAGCACATCTATCAGCCTATTGCTGATTTGAACATGGCTCGCTAGGTCGTTACAGAGATCGCCATGAGAGGCCATTACTTGTCCACGCGTGCACACGCAATCGCCCTAAAAAGCCATGTAGTTGAAGAAAAAAAAAGAAATAGTGATCAAGGCCACGAAGCGCACGTGACGTTTTCTGTTTGCCCCTCCCACCCCTCTCTGCTTAGCTTTCAGCGCTTTCGTCGGGACGAGAGAAGAGGGAATGCGATTGCAGCATGTGACAAATCTTTGTGACTCCGCTCGTACTGGACGGATTCTTAAAACTTTTGCGGCATTGAATTTGTGGGAAAATACGCTTTTTCAGTGAATCAATTCCATAGTTACTCAAGGAAGTGTTTCAGGGCCCCTTTAAGCTTAAGGACATAAATACCAAGCAAATGAATCCACTACGCATTCCACGATGGTATCCCCTATGTCTTCCACCTCATTTTGGTAAACTTCCCTTTGCATAAACAAAATCCAATTGGAAGATGGAAAGGTGAGAAGGAGACCAGCTTAAGAGTTCAGCCTTGCAGTATATATTGTTACGGGGAAGCTACTACTATATTATATTAGCATAGTATAGTGTAGTACAGTATAACAGAGCAGCAACATAGTATAATATGGCATATGTTGCAAGATCATGCTAGCGACGTTCCAATAGTTTCGAGTGTCTGCTCCATCTAGTGCATGCCCTAGATCCTACTTGCTTCTGAAGATGAAACTTAGCAGTGAGTAGTGAAAATGCAAATCACTGTTGCCCTTTACCTTTGCTGGTGCTTGTCGGGAACGCTTAGTCCGATAATGGCGCATGCGGTTGTGTCGTAGGAGCAACTTTTGGTCGTCGGTTGTGTAGCTGCAGTGGGTGCAGCGATGGAGATGGTTGCTGTGAGTGGACGCATGTCTTCTCAGGTGGCCCAGTCGCATTGTGGTGAAGGAACACTTGTCACATCTGTGTAGTGTGGTCACCTGACAAGAGCCCATATTTGCCAGTCATGACAATGCATATTCCTTAAATGCATAAAACAGAGGCTGCTTAGCAAAGCGCGATTTGTATTCATCATACAAAGATAAAACACAGAATTGACATGTTTTGTTAGAAAATGAGGTGGTTTAACAGCTTTATCAAATCACAGCCCCACAATCGCTTTTCATGATGCAAGGTTCCAAATGTAAATGTTTTATTATGAGGGTGTATGAATACCAAAAACTTATAGTGTGAACCAAATAACCTCTTTTTGTATGGTCCACATTCTGTATGAGAATATATCTTTATTAGATTTATTTTTTGACAATGAAACTTATCACATCACAGACAGAGAAAGAATGACATGAATACTGATTGTCCTGAGTGATTTGTTTTCACAAGAGCTGCCGACGCTGCAAATAGGCATGAATACCAGAGCAAATGTATGGAGCAACTAGATTCTGCCCAACCAACGTAAAATGAGGCGGAACTATTGCTTCCTAGCTGTTTATGATTAAAAAAATTTTTTTAGGCCATGCCTGCAACACTTTTGTGTCACCTGATGCAACAGATGTCACAAAAAGAACGCACCCCCGGGCCACCCCATTGCATAAAGACAGCTCATGCACAATTAGGTAAGTACATAAGATAGTTAACTTTAGTCTTTGAGCGTATCCTCCTTGCTACTAATTCTGTGCTGTTATACATTTTTGATCTGCGCTAAAATTGCCCACCCGTTGCACAGTGTCCCGCTACCATGAAAACTCGCGATGTAAAAATGACGTGTATGGACTAAACAGCTCACTTATATGGCAAATAAATCATACTTTCATTGAATATCTGGACAGTGCCCTCTTCGAGACAAAATATAAGATAGCAACATCACATTAGGTTACCATTATGATGCAGCAGACATGATACCATTTCAGTTAATTCTTATTTTACAACATGCTCAGTACCGTGGACAGCCACTTGTAGATAGAGCTTTGTTTTTTTTTTTACTAAGTGGACCACTCACAACTTTTATATGCAGTTGAAAATGGCAAAATACTTGACAGTCAGCTTCTTATCCTAACTTTTTTTTTCTTTCTCAAATATATGTATTGTTTGATCTGAATTTTGCTATTTCATTCCCTCCAGTCATTGAGGGATGCTTTTACTTCCTTTGAGGCGGATGCTTCAAAGGAAGTAAAAGTAGCATTCGGCACGGTACCTTCTCGTGTATCTTGATGTGCTTCAGGTAGTGGCTGTTGCGCTTTGTTTTGAATGAGCACAGCTCGCAGAAGTACTTGAACGGCGTGACCTCTTCGTAGTTTCGCTTCTGTTTCTGAACTTCCGTCACTGGATCAGGGGCCACGCTGTCTCCCCTGTTCTCTGCTATCTGCTCTGCGGCACAAGTGGTGCCCACCGCTGTCGGATCTTCCATGAACTGCTCCGCCACATGCTCTTGGGGCGGAGGAAGGTCCAAAGGGAGATTCAGCATGGCGTCCTCCAGTTTTGAGCAGTGGATCTCAATGACGACTGGGTTCGGCACCACACTTGGGTCACAGCTGACCTGCTGTATAATAAAGGCAGTTGAAAGACGCACAAAAATATGAGGTTGTCATCAACTCCTATAAACACTTACTAAATTCTGCAGTTTCATGTGCCAAAACTGTGTGCTTGTACTGTAGATTATATACAAAATATATTCGCAAAAGCGGTTGTAACGCTGGCCAGTTCAGCTCAAAGCCCGTGAGAAAAGAGCTCGTCCTCTTCGTTGGGTACCTGACAGCATGGTCCAAGAGACTAACACTATGAATGTAGTAGCATCATGACTAATGAGACATGCTGTACTAAAAGGGGCCCTGCAACACTTTTTTTTTTTCAGTTATAAGGAAATAGTCTAGTGCATGATGCATCATGAATCACATGCCACAAAATTGTTAGGATTCATCGAGTAATAGTAGAGATATAGGTATGTGTCACACGATTCAAGCACTTTCTCTCTTCTTTTATGCTAGTGAGCCCACTGAAAGCTTCGCAGGAAGGGGGATAGCAAGGGGATAAGAAGGTGCGCCCCTTCGTCAATGCGCGCCATGACCTTCACTTTCTTTTTTTGTTTTTCTTAGAATGCACAGTTTACCTTCAGTGTGACGATAAGCGCGGGCAGGTGGTGGCATTTTGAGGCTGTCACGATGACTATGCCAGCTGCTGTGGACGTGGGTAAATGGCGCAGAAATTGGAGTATATAGCATCATTCGTAAAAAGAGAAGGGAGCGATTTTTAGCTGACTGAGAAATAATCGTAAATTCTAGGCCACATGCCACACTATAATATTCAGCTGGCATGCTCTCGGGAGCCTCAACTACCAATCGGCAGCGGTTTCTGACCATGCTCAAAAAGTGTTGCTGGGCCCCCTGAAGGCCTCAAGGTTCTCTTTCGTCACTTGGGTCGTTTAAGAAGAGATTAAAGTCGTAAAAATGCCTGTTTTTTGTCTAAAATTACACATTTCTTGTTTTTGTATACTTTCACAAGTTTAGTTTCTTACTTCCACAACAAAAAAACTGAAGATTGTAATTAAACTCGAAGCAGGTAAAACTTGCTTTTAAAGAGCATGCGGTGGCTGCTAAAAACTAAAAAGAGCTTATTGTTTAGAACCCTCTGGAAATTGTCACCTGGCTTCTTGCCACTGCATTTCACATGAGGAATTTACTAAAGCCACAAACTCACAACAACGATTGCCAAGCTCTCATAATGAAAGAAATCATATTAAAAAAACATATCTTTGCTGCACAAAAGAGCTTTGACTTATATACCTTTAAAATGTGTTTTTTTTTCAATATCCACATTCGGACAATTTCTTGAGTTTAGACATAACGTTTTTGGTACTTTTAATAGCCAGATCAAGATGGAATTTCACCCACATATTGTTTGACCTGTGAAGAGTGCATGTATCTTCTTTAAAATTTTATACTGTATGTATAAGAATTACTATGTATCATTATTATGTATAATTAAGGGAACAATTAGTGTGAGCTGAGGCATTTTGAGAATTCTCACATTACAATTTTTTTTTTGTCGACTAAAACTCTTACACGCCCTTTTGCCATAGTTATTTGCATTCTAATGTAATGTAGAGCAACATCGGCCATTAGTGACCCAGAATCATAAAAGTTTAGTGCCATAAAAAGTTTGTTCAAAACTAATCATACTTGACACATCGTCATGACACAAAATCAAAATTGTGCTACCAACTATAAAACCAATTACATATTAACAATCAACATAAAAGCCTATATATACAGCAAAAAAATTTATTTGCCTAGGCTGCAGATTAATGGCACTTTTTTTTTTTTTTTTAATTGGATCTCTCCTAAAGGGACACTAGAGAGGAACAATGACATGGTCATACAGGCCAGGCTAACCCCGCCTGCTGCAACAACAACAACACCACCACAACCACCACCACCACCACCACCTTGGTTTAGGTTGATAAACTGCACTCTGAGAACTCTAATGTCGTATGTTTCACTATCGTAAGTTCATTATTATCTGAAAAAATGAAGGTTGAAGTTTCATTTTTAAATATCACACCATAACCTCCGCACGTGACGTGACAAATTTAAAAATGGCTATTCAATATTTTTGTGGCATTGGCTCGATGAAATTTTCTGAAACTTCGTATATGGTGTCTGCGACGCCCAGACATTATAACATTCTTCATTTTGTCGATTAAAAGCTATGTAGGAACTAGTGGACGCCTTCAAAATTTCTTATGTCACAATGTTGTTGCTGGAATTTGAAGGTGGCTTTGCCACCTGCATTTTTTTTTTCGCGGGTTTTTTCGCTAATCAAGCGTCGTGTCATTGTAAGAGTGGTGTTTTCGGAATTGTGAAATTGTACTTTACCAACATGCAAAAAATCGTTTCGGTTTCTAGTGTCCCTTTAATGCGCACCTGCACAAGTGTTTCAACATTTCATCTCTATCGAAGGGCAGCCACTGTGGTCAAGGAACAAGGCTGCACCCTCAGTATCCTACACAATTAAGATGAGCAGCCGTAAAAAGAAGACCACGTAAAACAGCTTGTCTTATTTATTATATGCTAGGAATTTATGTGTAGCCTGTGACAAAGATTACAGCTGGGAGATCTGGGACAATTTTGATCAAATGATCCCTTCCCCTGCTGTCAAGTGCGAGTTATGCCACTTCACTTTTGTCCTCCAATGGTGATAAAATCCCTGAGCTGGAAACCAGGCCCATGAACTTAGGCTTAGGAGCACCACATCATAACAAAAATTGCTGGAACTTCGATACACAAGGCTGTTCTGCACATTCAATACATCGGCAGACACAGCTTTGATGTCATTTACAAACTGAACTGCAACCCTCATCGTTCGAAAAAAAATTGTGATAGTAGCGAATCTAAATTATAAGAGTTTACTATTACCCTGAATAATGTTTACCCTGAGTAATGTTTAGTTTTTCTTTGAGAATGATGTCACCTCCCAAACTATGTGAAATATAAAATACAACCCATCAATGAAGGACAGTATGAAGCGAAAGGTATGAAGTACCAAGAATGAGATTCACGTTTTTCCCTTGTGTTGCAGAAATTGCTTGTACAATAGAAATGCGTATCTTGGGAATCGATGTTATGCGAAGCATGCAAATGGAAGGTGAATGTGTTTTATTTTTTTAGTGTATATGTACAAATACATGTAAACACATATGTTCAACAGCCATATATTTTTTATATTAGCACTTGTTTATAGTTGTGAAATGATGCCAAGAGCAACATGGATATTAGCAACACAAGAAGCAGTAAGCTGATATGAAGCGTTGGTGTTTGTGCTGGTGCGCGCGAGGATGGTAGCCCTCAACACTGCTACACAAGTCAACTTAGTGGATGGTGCCTACCTACCATTTATGTTGCCCCGACATGACGGCTGTATCATATGAGTGCATATGTAGTGTTTATAAAATTGGATAGCCAGTACTGCAAGCACAGACGTTTCACAAACATTAGGGTCTATTTAAAGAGTATATCCAAGGCCTGGCATGGCTCTGTGGTAGAATACTCCATTGCCGCGCAGAATGCTAGGGTTCGATTCCTTTATTCACATCGACTCACACATATATACTGGCATGTGGTCACAAAAACCAGTGTTTGATCTATCGCCCTGCAATAAAAAGAAGTATCTTATTTCAATTGAAAAGCATGACAAAACCTTGCGCATTGTATCACCTGGTTTTTGGAACCACGTGCCTGTGTATATGTGAGAGTCGACGTGAATAAAGATTAGTTGTGAGTCCGTTGCCCATCTTCGTGTTGTTTTCGTTTTGTGTCCTGTCTTTTTTGCGCTGTTCTTAACACTGAACCCACACCAGCTAGTCAATGCTTCGATTCCTGCTGGGACACTGGCATTTATTGTTTGCATTCGTTCAGTCAATGCCGCCTATGGCAGCTTTTTCTTAACACTCAAGCGTTAAAGTTACCCATGTGTGTTCTTGCCATTCCTGGTTAGATATAAAATGTACATCACCTGTGGCACATACATGCCCTTGGGTATGTGCCACTGTTTTTTGGAAAGCGTTTCACGACAGTACGCAACGAGATTGGGACATTATTTATGTAGTGACCAGTGAGTCGTATTTTTCAAACTACCTCACCCTCCTGTACTAATTTTGGTGTACTCCCAGTTAAGAGGGTGATCATGAGAGCACCTAGACTTAGGCGGATAGATTAGATTAGCTTAGGTTAAACATAAGATTTATATATAGATCCAATTAAATACATCCGATTTGCTAGCATCTTATGAAATGGCTTACATCAGTTCTGTTTCAATTGTTGTTTGCACACAATGTCTCTCACAAGTGCACAAAAAGCTGAAAGGTTGCAATCCACGAAGTCTGCGTGAAATTAATGGCAATACACAGATTGCCGATATCTTGTATCCTCGAAGGTAGCATGAACTAGTTCGTTAAGTGCAAATGGACCGAATGAACCTCACATCTGGATGACTTGCCCGTGTCCACCAGCCAGTTACGTCAGTGCGCGGTACTATTTCGTAATAAGCAAACATTCGTTGTATGTCGCCCCAAGTTGCCGCGACTGACTGCACGAGAATGTTACCTGCGGCTCGTTTTCCAGGGCGACAGCGCCGACATCACTCGCAACGGCTTCGATTTGGTCGAACGAGTGCTGCAGGTCGGAGGAACAAAACTCGCCGCACGCGCCACTTTCGGCAACAACGTTGACGAGGAGCGTTGTTTCACCGGGTGAACAGAAGCCATCTTCCTCAGCGGCCAATTCGGGGCAGTCTTCGATTACATCTGCACCGATAACCTCGTGCGACGCCACATCCACGTAGGGGTCTTTAAACGCTTCTAATAGGGTGACATCGTCAGCTTCGGCGACTCGCTGCAAGTGAACAGTGTCTTGTTGCAGCAGATGCTTCTGCAGTATCTTGCGCGCGGCGAGAATGTCCACGAATGAACCATGGATCATGTACCGCAAGCAGGCGTTCGAAACGTCTTCGCTGAGCTTTCCCGGCACTCCGTTGTCCCGGAAAAAACACCTCGATGCTCTCGGGAATTGAGCGAACGACTCGATCGGACAGGAACGCATGCACATCGTCGAAGACCTGAATAAACAAACAAAAGAGAAACAAATCAATCACTCGGTGATTCAACACGCATGACTAGCACGCCCAGGTTAGGATCGATGACTAACGGGCGTTTCGTAACACGGTTTGTCACAGCTTCGAAAAACCCAGCGTACAGGTGTTTACCTCCAACAGCCTGTTGCATTTCTCTCTTTCTTCTCGAACTTCGATCGCAGGCATGATTCGTTTCTTGCATAGTAGTAGCGCCGATGACACTTTCTAGACTAAATTCACTTCCAAAGGAGTGTCTTTTTGAAACACATTACGGTGCTTCAAAAAGAAGTGGTCTACTGAGAGCACGGTAGACGAGATCATGCTTTGGAAATGAGCCAACTGTGTCATTGTACTGCCTGTGTTGATACATTTACAATATATCATAACGCACAGAATGTCATATCATCACAAAGGCTATGACAGAGCACGATCATCAGCTTGCAGTCACATTTAATACGCATCAGAAGTATTCTTCGATTAGCGTACAGCTAGAGTGCCTACACAGAACCACAGAACACCTACAACAACTCGGTTGTGGACTAACCGACTGCTTCTGGCTGCAATCGGCTTACATGCGACTGATTTTGACTGTTAGCCGGCTACTGACTACTTTCGTATAATATTTGCGAAGTTATTTATGTGATGCATGCTACAAGTATGCGATGCTCAGGTGTGTCCTCATTGTCTGTTCTTATTTTAGGGTTGTATTTTCACATTACTCATGCGAGATCGGCCCTTGCCATTCTGGACCATGACCAGAATGGCAAGGGCCGAAAGGAGCGTAGCCAGAATTTTCTTCGGGGGAGGAGGGATGAATCATACTTCAGCAACACCTCCTTAAAAATAATAAAAAAACTAGGAGGCGTTGACTTTATGTATGCTTGTACGTGCGTTTGTATTCGTGCAGGCAAAATTGAAAACACTTGGGGAGGAGGGTTGAACCTCCCTGACCCCTGGCTAGTTACAACGTTATGACGTCCTATCCTCGTTCATATTGCGGCCATGCTGCGGTTCCTTGTTGTAGTGTCACATCTGTGACATGCTTGCAGCACTTTCATGGAATGGAGTCTATGGTGTGACTGAAATGTAATAATCTTCCGCGATCGAGAGCGTCCAAGTTCGCCCGTAGAAACATAGCATGTTCGCCCCTTTCGCTTGCCACTTGTGGAAACAACGCGTACATTGTTTTATTTTTACTGCACGTCGGGTCGCTCACAAACAAATAAGCTAGAAAACACGACTTCCGCTTCCACTGACAGGACAACCCGTCTTCGAGGGTTTCTTTCGCACAAAATTAAGAGAAGGTGGTGCGAACCCGTTTTTAGAACCCCGACGACAACCGCCTCACCGCGCAAAGAAACAGGACGCATCCGTGAGGAGGGCGAAACGTGGGCGTCCCAACATTGGGCGCGGGTGCGCGTGCCCCCCATTCGGCTAAGATTGCGGGCTGCGACAGCTGAATTTTACGAGCGATTCTACTCGCGCTGCCTTCACTCATTCGAATCGGTCCTGTCGTTGTAGCAATCGGAACACAGTGAACTTCCGATCTGCGGATTCTTCCGAGGCAAGTGTCATATTACTCCAGCCGATGCAGCACGTTCAGACCACGTTCAGACGGACGCCAACGGCGCCGGCTCGCGGAGTGAGCAACACTTCCCGAGTGACGTCACAGCTCACCTCCCCATGAGTCTCCTTCCTTACATAGGCAACCGGGGTTGTTGGAGTACCTCGCGTTAGGAGTTGTGTGTCCTGCCTGTGATTTTAGCGGTGTTAGCGGAGGTCCTCGATGACGTGATACACGGAGCAAGGATTACAGCTCGTTAATTTACTCTTCGTTAAGTTGTAAGTACGCTTTGTCTCTCTACGTGTTTCGGCCGTCCTGAAAGTTCGGTTTCTCGGCAATCTTCGCACTTAAAGTTTCGGAGACTGTTCTCGTTGCACGCTTAGGCTACGTTGTCAAGGGTCCGAAACCACTAGGAATGCGTACAGTTGCGATTTAGAGCTGCACCGCCAACCGACACGTGGGTTTGCGACAGATTTTTGTAGTTCGCAACTTCGTTTGGATTATAACGTACACAAACAATGGGCAGGGCACATCTGCGGGCCATCTGGACTTTAGTTGCGGTTTCTTGGCTCTCCTAATGAAGATTGATCGTCGTTTGACTGGCGGGACGTTAGAGAGACCCTGCAGCCGCATTTTTCGAGTCCGATCGTAACGGAAACTGCTATCTATCCTTTCTCTCTTCGTTGCTCGCTGTGCGGATCCGTTAAAGGGCGGGGGCCTGCGAGCTTGCAGGAAACTCCTTTTTGCGTCGTTCCCGTGCCTTTTTTGTGTCTTACGATGACATTTGGATCATGCTAGCGTAATCACGGCGCTTATGTGCTCCCATTTTCTTTACCCTTTCAGGCTTCTTTTTATGTTAAGCAGCAGTTGTGAACATGATCTCGTGCACCGTCAAGCAGCTGTGCTGCGTTCTGTTTTTGTTCGCCTGTGTTGCACACTGCCAAGTGAAGACTAAAGAAAGCTTCAAGAAAGGTAACCTTTACGGACCTTGCTTCGCGTCTCCGTATTCAGAGACGATGGCGACTGCTTACTTAACCCTTTGATGGACACGATGAGATAACGATTTGTGCAGTGTTATGTGCATATTTTTGTTCACTATAGTTCTGTGATAATTAATAGATGTCTCCTGAAAAGCCCAAGGGCCCGCGCATATATCTCACCTACGGCGCTGTCGTCTGTGTATAAGTGCCACTAGACTAATTGTTTTTTATCGCAGGCGTGCGTATACGAAAAGTTGACGTATTTGACCCCCCTGGAGTTATTGCACGCAGTTTTAATAGACACTAATTGTTATCGTAAAACGAAGCTTTTTTGTTCCTGCCTCCCCACTATTTAGTACAGATATGCAACTTTTTTCCCCAATAGATATGTTAAATATCAGTGAGTGTTCGTGCACGAATTGTGTTAGTAACTACACCGCATATATAATGAAGAATAAATCATGACATCGTGTATGATGAAGATCTTCATGTGTGTAATGTGAATCGATAGCTATAGTACAGACAGACCACTTCACGGAATTGCCCATCATATTGAAATAGTTTCTTCGATTTTATGTGGATAACCCCATTATAGGGCCACTGTGTTGTAGAAGCTTCAAATTTGTTTTTTCTGCATGTTTACTTCTAATGACAGCTTCGGTAAACTGCCATTGTGCTTTGATATTATCCTCATCGCTTAGAGAGATGATGAAGCCATTCATGTGTTGTCTGCTACTGCCGTAGCCTTGCTATATAAAACAAGCTTTGTACCATTTAGATTTCACCATTGTATTGAATCTGCATGGTTTTTAAATGAAAGAATTTAGGAAAAATGAGCATAGTTTTTTCTCTTGTGTTTGCTGTCATGCACTAAAGCAACGTGACATGCAACAAGCTTCATTACTCAATGTCAGCTTCAGGAATGTTGCCAGAATTTTCATTTTTGATGTGTGTCAGATTAGAATTGTGCATGCATATGTATACATAGAAACTGGAAATATCTTTGGGGGGTTCTAACCTTGTGGTTACACCTGTGGCTTAAAGCAAGTTGTTAGAAATAATGTCTTTTCCAACCGTTTCTAAAACTAGTAGCATGGGAACACCGGGCATTGGCTTAGCTGTGATGATAATGCAGTTTGGTTGCACCCATGTTAGAAAGCCAACAATTGCAAAGTTGACATGCAAGGTATAAGGAAGATATTGTAAGTTTTATTGGAAGACAAAAAAGCTGGAGTATCCAGAGTGATAAATATAATGTAGACAAAAGTGAAGCCGGCTGTAAATGTTCCGAGTGTTACTTGGAACGTATTTAGAAACCGTCCTGCATTGACATACTTATTATGTCTAACTTTGCTTAGTCAGGTATTGAGATCGATTGCGGTGACATGAAGTTAAATTCTAGATTAGTGAATTGTGCGAGTATTCTGTGAGTATAGCACTTTAGACTTGCTGCGCAAGAGTGTGCGAGAAATTGCTGACACAGAAACCAGCTGTGTCAAAAGAGGTTCATGAGTTGAATGCGGCACTCGCCTTTGACAAACACCTGAAATCATTACAAAAAATGCGTGATTTTCTTGTACACAATTGTTTTTTTTTTTAAATAATTTGGTTCACACTTGAAAAATATTTTTTTAATTATCTGGCCTAGAATTGAGTACACATGGACAGTAACTGAGCATTGGGTAGAAAAGAAAAAGCAGCGAATGTAATGACCATTGGGTTTTGTTTATGAACACAGAATTTATAAAATATGTATGTTCTGATGAGGTCTGGAAACAGTCATGTTGAAAAGTTCTCTTGTAGCATAAAATAAGGGGAGCTTTTGCTTGGTCAACGATAAAAATTCAAGATGGCAGTGGGAAAACTACTAAGAATAAACAATGTGCGTGTTTCTAATTAAATGCTCAAATGGATATGCATGCATTCACAGTTTTCATTCGGTCTATTTGAGTGAACAAAAACAGTGGGAGAAGAGATGAGGCCACATATTTTAGCGTGATAGTGTTAAAGAGCTCGTTTCGCAGAAATTCTGGCATCGACGTGAGCGTCCTTGATTGCGAGTAAAAAATCATCAGTTTGTCCGTGACCGAAAAATTAAGAAAGATTGAAACAAAAAAAATTTCTGGGTCCGAGTGAAGGTCGAACCCAGGCTGTTTGCGAGGTAAGCAGGTATTGTACCACGCAGCCACGCATCTGCTTGGATATACAGGGGAAAGAACTTCCTCTGCTTGTAAATGCAGTGAAAATAACTTTCATGCTTTACAAACACACACGTCCTGTGTACAGGCTTCACAACACAGGTAATATTGCGTGGTACAACCGTAAATTGCCAACAGGCACCAGAACATGTGATTATCAATACGACTTCCTGGTTTAAAGCCGGCCACCCATTACAGAAGGCACACACATTACTGGACATTTACGGTTAAGACCACGTAGTGGGTGCATAGCAAGTTCGAAAGCGTTTCATGTACATAATTGCTTGTGGTTTAAAGCATGCTACCCATTACACAAAATTCAGTCATATGCAAAAGCTCCACTGGCAACAAGCCGCTTTCACTTTTATAGATTACATTGTAGTGGTTTACAATTTAAACTTTTCGAGTAACATTCTACGATAAAAAGTATGCACTAAGTGTCTGAAGTACGTACTTGGGACAGGATATCACTATCATGTTAAGCTCTTAAAATTGAAGCTTAAGGGTTCACCAATTTTAAAATCTCCTGATGAATTTTAAAATATCCTTCATCATTTGATGAAGAGAGCAGGGCACTTGCCCGGGATTTCATGGTAGTTATTTTTCACCATTGTGGCATAGTAAACAAACCCTACAAAGTGTGTTATGGTTCTCTGTCCATCAAAGGGTTATTAATAACCTTCTGAGCAAAAAAATATGTGTATACACTCAAGCCTCATTATAACGAAATTGCATCTTAAATGAAAAAAAGTTAATTATATCCAAACATTCGTTATAAAGGTTAATCTTTAACACTGTATCTGGTTTCAAGGCTATTTTTCATTTACTTCATTATAACCAATATTTTGTTATAACCAGGTTTGTTACATCAAGGTTTGAATGTATATGTCTATACTACCTGTTGTTAAAACTTCTTCACTTATTGTTCACTTTGTAGGCCCCGAGAAACTGCTCAGTAATCCATGCAGTGGAAGGGAAACATGTTCCGAGTGTATCACATTTGACTCTGACTGTGGTTGGTGCACAAAACTGGTGAGTATTGCAAACTGGGGCACATTCCTTAAAACTTTTTCACACGCATTGCTTTATGTAAATATGGTGTGTTTATTTACCTGCATAACATATATAGAAATCCCTAGTGTACATGTCCTCTTGTCACCGAGCGCCACTGCATACTTGCAGTTTGATCTGCTCATGTTGCAGCACTGTAATTCTTTTCTTTTGCCCTGCTAACTTTTTCAAGAATTACACGAACGATGGAAAGCCCAGGTGCGACACACTCATCAACCTGGCTCAGTACTGCCCTGATGACTACTTTCATCCAAAAAACACCATGACGAAGATTGTGGCAAGTACATCTTTTACAAGATTGCCTTGAATACAGTGTATGGACATTGGAGGGTGCTAATCACAATAATATGATTTTCTTTCATTCTTGACCAAAAAAGGACAATGAGCTGAGCAACAAAGGAGCAAGAGAGGGCGAAGCCATTCAAATCAAGCCACAAGAAATTCGGCTCAGGTTAAAACCGAGTAAGTGCGATTTTGTTCCAACTTTTTAACACTTCATCTGTTGGCGAGACCAGTAAGTTGAGCTGTTCAGGATTGCATTTGCGTCCCTGCACACGTCTCATTTTGTTTGTTTTTCCTTCCCGAATGGTGCCAGTGTAGAAGTTTCTCATAAGAGGCTTTGGAAGTGTCTTCGAGTGAGGAAAAGGAGGCTTAAAATATTTACGCAGGCTGAAAATTTGGTTGACTCTGCCATGGCGTGCAAGTTAGCATCCTATCAACCATTGCACGATGCCGCTGCATCATGCCCAGAAATTGCAAGAAATAAAATGAGCAAAACAAAGGCTTGGTAGAAAAGAACACACATTACTGCCGTGTGCAATTTCGAAGGACAACAGGTAGCAATCATTTTGAAAGGACAAGGGGCCCTTCTATGAGAACATGATTTGTAAAATGATAGAATAATTAATTATCAAGTATGGGTGTATGTTCACGGCCAACAAGCAGCGTTCATCTTGTTGAGCGGCACGAGATTCTCGTGTTCAGTTTAAGTGAGCCACATTCATTTTCACAACGATTGCAGATAAGCAAGCTATTGAAATATTATATATATACTTGTGATGAAAAAAATACATACACAGGGGTTATGTCAAGCCGACGTTTTGACAAGGAAACTTGTTTTCCCCAAAACTAGAACAGAACTGATTTCTTTAGCGCTAGCGTGTACGAAGTGTAGAGGGTACGAAGCGCAGACACGTTACCGCTAGAGAAATCGGTTCTGTTATAGCCTTGAGCAATATAAGTTCGCTTGTCGAAACGTCGGCTCGACACAACCCCTGTTTACAGATTTTTTATTGCAAGCTTTCATCTTCCCCCTCTTGGCATTTTTTTATTTTACACATATGCTCGTGCAATACCATCGGGCTTTTTTTTTTTTCTTCCTGAAATGGGGGGAAATCGAATGCCGCCATTACATGGATTTGTTTTTTTTCTTTTGCTTTGTTGTTGTGTGACAGAAGAGAAAGAGGTTCTGTCACTGCACGAATCACTGGATTCATTCATTGCTGACTTTAAACGCTCTGTCATCGAAATAGCGCAGTGGTCACACCATTTCTATTTTGTGCACTGCAGCAGTGAATTTCTGGGAACATGCTGCATGTGCCTTGGAAAGCACACCTCTGTCCATTTGTTTTAGGGGCAAAGCTCCTTATAGTCTAACTTTGTCACTAGTCACGCGTAACAGAGAGAAGAAGAGACTAGAAAGAGAAATGGATGACCATTTTTCATCTCGTTTCCTATATGGCGTTACTTTGCCGCTGCTTTCCGATTGGCTGCTGCGCGCGCTTTGTCTGAGTGCATGAACGAGTGCCGCTCTCGGTCTCCTGGATAGTCGCCGTACATGGCGGATCGTTGGTGGGGCATGGACGGAGCAGAGCAGTGGGCACGTTGAAGATGCTTACGCTTGGCTTCCTTGGCTCGCGTCTCGTCTGTGTTACTCACGCTCTGTTTGCATGGCGCACGAACGAATGCCTCTCTCAGTCTTCTGGATAGTCGCCGTACGTGGCAGATCGTTGGGTAAAGACTCTTGCACTCAGGTTCTTTGGCTCGCTTCTTGTCCGTGTTACCTGCGCGCTGTCTGCATTCTCGAACCCTATAAGACACATGGAGCGATGGATGGACGGACGCTTTGCCCCACTCATTATCAATCACTCCGTGAATATGCTGTGATTTATTTCTCAGTGCATTTTCTTGGGAGCGCAATCGTTGCACATATTTTTCATTGATCTAAAACATTCGACCAGCCTGCCTGTTGTTTGGGAAAAAAGAAGCTTCGGGATATTCTTACCACACAACAAATAACACTGCTCATCCTCTAAAAAAAATTCAATGGTGTGTCTAATACACGGCTGATTCTTAAATATTTTTTGGGGGGACTTGACTAAGTTAAAAATGTGGTTTCTATTCAAGTGCGGTCATTTCACGAGTGTATATAGTATATTTGAAAAGGCAGTTATGGAGACGTCTTCCTCAGAAAGTTTCATGCGTGTACATTTGATTTTGTACTCGTGGAGACGATTTGGAACCCATTGTATGTTGAAACTACTGGAGTACGTCCCTATATGTTTGGTTCCAGTGTTCACATCTTTCGTTTTGAACGTCCCCACTTAGTATGTTTTTTTTTTTAACTTTAATTTGCAGAGTCTCCATTCCCACTGCATGTGGAATTCAAGCAAGCTGAGGACTATCCAGTTGACCTGTACTACCTTATGGACCTCTCCAACTCGATGAAGGATGACAAAGAAAAACTAGCCCTGCTGGGTGACCTTCTGGCCCAAGAGATGGGCAAGATAACCACAAATTTTCGTCTTGGCTTTGGCTCGTTTGTCGACAAAGTGGTCATGCCCTATGTGAACACTGTTCCCGAAAAGTGAGTTGGCTTGGCTCATTTTACTTCGCACAGTTATAGAATGAACTCATTCTAGAAACATTTGGTAAACTTGCAGGGTATCTCATTGTATGTAGTGTTTGGTGAAGTTAGAAGAATCTTATTGTTTTCTCGAAAATGGTTATGTTTTAACAGCAGGCCTGTGTAAGTTCGCTGTAATTTCTGTCGGGAACAAAAATTGTCATTGTGAACCGGCATGCACTCTCTCTGTCCCCGTCTTCATCTTCTGCCTTGCTGCTCTCAGAACACATGCAGTCTTTTCTACAGCACAGGATGCAGTAACCTGATGGGTGCAAGAACGAGTGCAGACAGAGAAAGATTGAAAGAAAAAGAAACAGAAAAATTATTTTTGAAAAATGTTTCTTGGCGAGGCAGGATTTGAAACCGGGTTTCTACGATGCGAAGGCGTGCATCGTAACCAATCGGCCATCTAGGCATGCCAGTAGAATGAAGAATAGCCTTGTATAGTACTATAGTTTGACAAGAGAGTGGAGGTGGTACCGTATTTACTCGATTCTACCGCGCCCTCGATTGTAACGCGCACCCGATTTCCACCGCGAAAAAAAAAAAAAAAAAACGTAAGACATCGATTGCAACGCGCACCCATTTTTTTTTTGCTGGCCCGCACGATCACACCACTCGAAAAAACGATTCCTTTCTGGATTGTCTTCCATTTAAATATGAGGTACGGCCGAAGCTTGTGCCCATCTGACGTGTAACAGAGCATTGCCGTCACTGTAGTTTTACCGTGGACCGATGTCAGCACGCGAACTTGCTTCGCCCCCTTCTTCTCGACAGTTGTGGTGCCAGGCATGTCGAAGTAAAGAGGCGTCTGATCGGCATTCCAGATTTGCCCAAGCAGGTAGCCGTTGTTGCGCCGCAAGTTTAGGACGAACCTCTGAAAACTGTAAAGCTTTTCATCGTACTTCTCCGCAAAAGTTTTCGCATATGCATGTTCCTTTTCGGAGGGAAGAGCCTTTCCTCTTCATATAGTTAATTAGCCAGCACCTGCTCGCTTTAAACAGGCTCCGCATTAGACTTTTTTCTAAGACTAATTGCATAGCCCGCACTTGGAGCAGTTCTGTCGTCATGGGCCGCTGTGCCACTCGCTCCTCAAGCACATACTCGCGGAGCAGCTCTTCAATTTGCGGAAACCGACCCTGCTGTGGTTCACTGAAGCCTTTGCGTGAAGCTTTGCTGTCGACAATCTTCTGCTTTTGTTTCCGCCGGTCCCGCACGCACGTTTCGAGAAGGACCACGATGCGGCCCGATTTCCGTCCGTTTCTGCACACGCGATGACTTTTCTTTTAAAAGCGGCATCGTGGTGCACTCGAGTTTTTGGAGTCGACCCTTCCAAGTCGTCGATGCTAATGCACTACTAGTTGACGAACTCCTCAGCACACGTACGAAGTACCGCACATGGTAAACACATAGGCAGAAATAGCCGATGCACCATGCCAACGCACGTAGGGGGCGGCCATTTTGGATTTGCGATGGCAATAGATTGACCGTAATTTTTTTGTTCGTACTCGATTCTAACGCGCATGCGATTTATGAACTCGCTTAACCGGAAAAAAGGTGCGCGTTAGATTCGAGTAATTACGGTAAGTGAGGGTGAAGAAGAAAGGAAGAGAGTAGAGTATAGCATAGCAAGAATGAGAGAAAGAGAAATTGAGTGAATGAAAGTTGGATAAAGAAAGAAGGAGAGATAGTCAAAGGAGGAGACAGAAAAAAAGAGAAATAAAAAGCGAGCAAGAGAGAAAAAGAAGGTGTAGATGACAAACATATGAGAGAAATGGAAGTAAGGGTGAGGAGGAAAGATGTCAGTATACGATCAAGGTGGAAGAGATAAAAGCAGACAATAGACAGAATTAGCAAGAAAGAAAAAGAGAGAAACAAAAGTAGAAAGAGAGAGAATTCAAAAAGATAAAGTAGTAGGGAGAGAGGAAAATATTGAAAGAGGATGCAAGTACCAAGCTGTGACAGAGAAATGAGAGGGTAAAATAGGAAGAAAATTGAAAGTGCAGGAAAGTGAAGTTGATATAGCAAAAGAAATAAAAGAAAATAGAGAGGGGAAGAAATGGAAAAAGGAAGAAAGAAAGATGAAACTAAAGAGAAGCAGTGAAGGCTGCGAACCTCTGCACTTTTTTCAGTCTTGGCACCACTAGCGCAATGCTGCCTTAATATTGTTTTTCTGGTTATACTAGAATGTACACTCGCCAATTAACCACTTCGTATGTTGTAGTTGAAATTGTGAACCCTGATTACCAGGTCACTTTGTTTGAACGACAATCTACTGTCCATAAAGCAGTGAAATATACTACACTAAAAGCTTGTTAATTAGACCCCCGTTAATTCGGAAATTCGGATAATTTGGACGGCTCTATTGGTCCCGGCCAAAGTGCATGTTAATCTATGGGACCAAACCTTCGTTATTTCGTCGGAATTCGGCTCCGCGCCGCCTAATTCGGACAAATGCTGACGGCTGCTGCTACACAAAAGTGTGATAAAGCAGCGCTGGCACCACTGGAGTGAAACCGAAACCTGAGTGGCATCGCCATCATCATCAACTAGTGGGGGCGATCGCAGCGTCACTGAACGTTGGCGTCTTCTTTCTTCTCCACTCAGCGCCTCCGACGCCATTTTTCCTTGTGTTGTCGTGTCGGAACCATCTCTTCTTGCGGAGTTCTCTTTTTCTTCCATTTTGACCGTATTTGCATGCCACCACCGTCAAGCGCTACAGTGATGGCAACGCCGAAAAAGCGGCAGAACTACGACGCGAAGAACTTGGCGACTAAAGTGGAAATTTCGGAAGCACTGAAGAACGGCGAATCGCGACAGCAGGTTATGACCAAGTACAACGTGAAGCGGAGCACGTTGGGAACGTACGTGAAAAATGAACAACAGATTCGACAAGCCTTCGAAAGCGAGAAGTTTCATGCCTCTAGAAAGCGGTTGCGAACCGCAGCTCATCCCCAGCTCGAAGAAGCTTTGCTCCGGTGGATTACTGACTGTCGCAACGCGTATCTGCCTTTGAGCGGACCTCTCATCATGGCGCAAGGTGAGAAGTACGCTGCAATGATGAACATTGAATCGTTCAAAGCGTCAGAAGGTTGGTTTGCGAGGTTTCGAGAGAGACACGAACTTGTCTCCAGGAGTGTGTGCGGCGAAAAGGCCAGCGTTGACGAAAGCGTGACCACCGAGTGGAGAAATGTGAAGCTGCTGGAGCACATCGCCGCATATGAACCACGTGACATGTTCAATGCAGATGAAACTGCTCTATTTTTCAGAGCTCTGCCCGACAAGACGGTGACTTTCAAAGGGGACGCGTGCATTGGTGGCAAGAAGTGCAAGCAAAGGATAACTGTGCTTCTTGCCGCCAATATGACTAGCACGGAGCGCTTGCCACTACTTGTCGTCGAAAAGGCGCTTAAGCCACGTTGTTTTAAGAACGTCAAAAGCCTTCCTGTCGAGTACACAGCAAACAGGAAGGCATGGATGACATCGGACATTTTTCACGGCTGGCTGCAGCAGTTGGACCGGCACTTCACGTCGAAGGACCGCAAGATAATTATGGTTGTTGACAACTGCAGTGCCCATAACTGTACAGTCGAACTGAAGAGCATCAAAGTAGTTTTTTTGCCGCCCAACACTACGTCTGCTCTTCAGCCGATGGACCAGGGTATCACTCACTACGTGAAGTCGAAGTACCGCAAGCACCTGCTAGAGCGAATGATCCTATGCTCAGAAGCTGGAAAGTTGTATCAAGTGGACTTACTCGGCGCAGTGCACATCACCGCCCACGTGTGGAAAAACACTCCGCCGCAAGTCATCGCCAACTGTTTTCGGCACAGCGGTTTTGTGAGGCCCGAGCATGCAGCAGTAACTGACGATGGCATCGAGGAGGTGTCAGCCGAGTCCACCGACGATGACTGCCCGACCTTCGGTGCTGTCCTTCCCACAGATGTGACCTTTCAGGACTACATCGCGATTGATCATGGTATCGCCACGAGTGGTCTCCTGACCGATCAAGAGATTATTAATGATGTCACGGGCGCCCATGAAGACCACGATTCAGACGAAGAATCATGTAAGGAGATACAGCCGCGACCTCATCGCACCTCACGGGAAGTCTCGGAGGTGCTGTTAATATTAGAGGACGCTTGCCTGAACACTCCCGACAGCTTGCGTGCTGTTGGCCATTTGGAACAGTTAAGAAAAATTTTGATGTCAGCCGGAATCTGCGCGAAAATGCAGACGACAATTACAAAATACTTCAACAAATAAAGGTATGCTTCTGCAGCTTGATTTTAAATGTTGTTTTCCCTGTTCATTCGTTAATTCGGCATTCGGTTAATTCGGACAGTTTTTCCGGTCCCGTTAAATCCTAATTAACGAGCTTTTACTGTAGTAGTATATCTCTGAACGATGCTCAACAACAGATAAGGAACAAGATTTATTTGCAAAGTTTCAATCGAACTATTCATGGAACCTTGTGCATACTTCAAAAAACACGTCGCGAGCCAATTGTGACAAACCCATGGAAAGACATAACAAGACCTGCTGCATCTTCCTGTTTGTTTCCTACAAAATTTATTGCTGGGTTACTTTAATTAAGGAAAACTTGTTTATATACTTGTTTCCCCATTTTCATGTTACCTGGGCTTCCGGTAGTTTCAACACAACCACACACTTTTGTGCCTGTTGTATTGCATATTGAATGTTCCTATTTCTCACAGGCTGCAAAGTCCTTGTGACGACTGTGTTGCCCCCTATGGATTTAAGAACCACATGTCGCTGAGCACCGAGACTAGCCTCTTCAAGAAAGAGGTCAACGACGCCAGGGTCTCTGGGAATCTCGACGCTCCCGAAGGCGGGTTCGACGCCATAATGCAAGCCGTCGTCTGCCATGTGAGCTTTTGTCTTCAGTGTCTTATCTGTATGCGCCTGTGATGTTTCGATGAGGGCTATTGAACAGAACTTAATGGTACAGTTCACATCTCAAATTTCAAACCTATTCTTAGTATTTTCAGTCAAGTTTTATCATCTACTTTGGTATTTTTCGTAGTTTAGTAGACTCTCTGCAAGCGGGAATCTCCTAAATGGAACTGCTGGTTAAATGGAACTACTTCTAATGTGGTTGGTTTTGTACTTGTATTTGGCATTCCTGTTCATCTCTCAGTAAATGGAACTCCTGGTAAAAGGAACGCAACTTCCTGGTCCCTGCAGGTTCCGTTCAGGGAGAGTCCACTGTATTTTCATATTCGATTTGGGTTGTAGTACAGAACGGATATTCTTTTTGCGCAAGCTGTGGTTAAGGCTACGTGGCTTTCTCAAGGGATGGGGGGGGGGTTAAGGTAATGTTGAACACGAGATGCCAGAGTCCTTGGTGTGCTGGCAGTGCCATTTAATATGACATGGCTTTCTGTCAATAAGTGAAGTGAATGTGCATTTTTGGAGTAATTACCCAGGGGCACAGTGACAAGAGTGTGTACGGCATCGCTGTCTAAAGTTTTGCACGCTTCATGTTTCTGCTTGCTTTGCAGAAGGAAATTGGCTGGAGAGATAAAGCTCGCAGGCTTCTTCTCTTCTCCACAGACAGCGGCTTCCATTACGCAGGTGACGGCAAGGTGAGCCACAGAACGTCTCGCATGTACACTTGCTCACATGCACTCCTGCTCGTGTGGGAAAGAAACTGAAAACTGTCTATCAGTAGTTATTTGGGAGTTAGTCATAGATTTCCACTTGACACAGTTGCAACTTGTCTTGCCTCCTTTATTTTACCACTCCTTGCCCTTGCGCCTTATAAACACTGCATGTGCAATAGTTATCCTTTTTTCTTTCTTTACACAGTTCTAAAGTAAGTATATCTTCTTCCTTTGGCACCGTTTACACCGTAAGGGAGAACTCAAGGTTGGTGCCAGCTCCAGTGCCTCCTGCCCAAGTACATATAAAGTGCGGAGATATTTTTGTCAGAGAGTGCCTCAACTAATCTAAAGTGAAATTGTTTCATCGAGAAAAAAATAATTAAAATTTGAGTGACTGTAAAAAGCAGAATTTTGATTTTGGGCCTGGAATTTCTCACAAAATTGTTGGAAATCGACAAGCTAAAATAAAAGTAGAAGTGGAAAGTGTAGAAGTTTGTTACTCTGCCTCCAAAATAGATCTTGGCGGCAGGGCAGATTAATAGCATTTAATAGGGAGGATAGCTCTCTTGCTGCCATTGGCTGGTCCCTTATTTAGCTCAGAAGGTAAGGTTGCTGCCCCACAAAGTCGTTACTCCTGGGTTGGGATTCCAGGCCAGGATGACTTTTTTTTCAATCGTGAAGGTTCGTTGTTGATTGACGTTTTTGGCCTTACACTTCTAGTGGTCACATGAAAAGTTTTCCCTTTCATTGTTTATGAGAATATTGCATAGGTTCTACATGAGTATTCATTGTGTACCTATGAGCATAGGCCAGCGAAAGATGAAAAAAAAGTGGAGCACACTCAGACTCAAGAAATATATCTTGGGCTTCACACTCACTCGAATTCACTCTCACAAAAATTTTTTCGTACGGACTCACTCATACTGAAACTTTACAAAACATTACTCACATGGACTCACTCAAACTCACGGCTCAACCTGAGTTCGAGTGACTCCGAGTGAGCTTGCCTACTTATTGGTGAATGATCTAAAATTAATCAAGTCTATCCATTTTTTGAGGGAATAATATCGATCTCATTGCCGAGTCACACTTCTACTTTTGGTAGCTCTCGGTTTTGAATTATCGCAGTACTTAACCATTTTTGATGAACAATTGACCATGTAACAATTGGAACTCTTTATGTAGCGAACATGGCGAAGTTTTCCAACAAAAATGGTTTCTCTGTTTTGGCATATTTAAATAGAGTCCCAGAGCTAAAGCTGAAATAGGTGCTGTAGCTGGGCAGTTATATGGCGATTTCTGGCAGTCACTGCTACAAAAACACAAAAAATAAGCTTCTTTTTTTTAAATTGCTTTACTTTCTGTGGATAGTACTGGCTTTGTCATTTCCCCAAACATCAAATCGTGATGCGCTTCTAACGTTTGCTGCAATCGAGCACCTCACTGAAGAGGAAGCCTGGTATTGAAAGGCCAGAAGTCACAAAAAAGATTTCTTTTTTTAAGTGGCATTTTTTATTATCTGCAACTTTCTTTTGCACTAGCCCTCAAAGTTTCTCACCATGTGGAGCAACATCATTGCTATAAAACTAGTACCCCCTTAAAAAAATCTGAGCTGAAATTCACGCTATAATGGTATTTTTTCAAGGGTTCACTAATACATCTGCACATAAAGCAGGCAGAATAAAAAAGATTTTGGCAGTAGAAAGCCACGTTTAAGATTATTAAAAAAAACTTAAAATTTTTTGATTTTGCCCTGTTTCCTGACACATTGTATTCATTGTGCAAAACGTGAAGTTCAGCACATTGTAATGGCATTTATACTTACAAATTAAAAAAAAAACATAAGACATCGTAGTATTATCTACCTTTCTGGCTATTAATTCATGCATTAAACTGAAATTTCTCATTTTGCCTTTCATATGCAACAGAGGCGAGAAATAATGTAATAGTATGAAAAGCTGGGCGAGTTGGTTTGAGGACATCATTGGAAACATTTCAGCGCCCAAACAATAGACGAAAAATGAAAGGCTTGAAGACAAACGAGCACGGTGCAAACTCACAACTCAGTGTGTCGTGCCCAGTTGTCTTCTCACGTTTCGTTTTTCGTCGGTTTTCGTCGGTTTTGTGCGTGCCGAAATCTTTGCAATAATGTCGACAAATAACAGTATGTTCTTGTTTCTGTGTTTTTAATTAGCTCGTTAACTGATTATCATGCACCAAACCTAAATAGCAGTTGACATCGGAAAACAAGAAAAAGAATGCCTGATTTTACAAAGATTGATGGCAGAAAAGTTTATACAAGTATTTATGACCAGACTTGCCTTTTAGCCCATGTTCACTCATTGTATGACACCATGAAAGCAGCATGTACTTAATTCTATTGAATTCCATTTTAGCCCATGTTCACTCATTGCATGACACCATGAAAGCAGCATGTACTTAATTCTATTTATTTCCGCACCAGCCAGTGAAAAAACAAAATAGCTTTGTGTTGCACATAGCTTTTGCTTTATGTTAGAAAATAAAGAGAAGCAGTATTCTTGTGTGCACAGGAATGCCAGGACAATCGCCCCAGTTTGCTTACTTGTGTCTCAACGCATGCTGTGATCCTGCTGTGCCAGTACTATTACTCTTTGCAACCACATGTTGGTGCCTGAGCTGTGTATTTGCTGTCAGACTGAATTGGTATGAAAGCATGAATCGGTAGTCTTTCCATGGCCTTCTTTGCACCTATCGTGAATCGGCATATGGCATCTGATTGTGAATTTGTGTAATCTGTGTCTGGTATGAAATGAGTTTCATTTCGAGCGTGTCTGGTTATTGTTTAATGCATTATCTGTTAATATCACTCACGCACTTTTAAATCTGCCAGGTTTTTTTGGGGAAGCTGTGCACCTTGAGTGCTGTCCTGTTAATGTACCTGTAAGAAGCCAAATACACCTCTGGTTTCTCACAAGGCAGTTTTAAATCAGCTGTGTGTGGGAAAATTGGAAAGACAAAATTCAAAGGAGAAGGCAGGGAGGTTCACCAGGGATGTAATTTTCAGCAATATACAGCTGGCTGTTTGGTGTTTGTTATGTGGGCTTCTGAACGCTTTGCAGATCTGCCCAAGCTTCTCAATGGTCTTCAGACTGTCTCAGTTCTTGGAATCCAGTATTTCAGCTGTGCCTTTGTGGTATTGTTTAGCTCGGGGGCATCGTCAAGCCCAACGACGGAGAGTGTCACCTGGAGAGAAACGAGTACACCGAAAGTGTACACCAGGATTACCCGTCACTCAGCCAGATCAACGCCAAGATCCAGGAGCACAAGGTGAACATCATCTTCGCCGTCACGGCTGACCAGATAAGCGTCTACGAGAAGCTGGGAAACCAGCTCGAGGGTTGCAGCAGTGGCCGCCTGGAGAACGACTCTTCTAATGTGGTTCAGCTTGTGCGGGAGCAGTACGACGTGAGTCTTGGCTTGTGTTATGAATGTTGGACTGGGGTTTTCACAGGGAAATGTTGTATGGGGTTACAACAGTAGCCAACTTTGGTGGTGTAGGTGTCCGCCATTGCCATTAGCATCTCTAACCATTGTGCGAAATCACGAAAAATGTCCAGGATCAAGCAGGACTTTGAGTACTCCACCACAAAGCCATGCTGGTGCTTGAAACTTTCATGAATAGAGGCTACACAGGCATGATGTCGTGCAAAAAAAAAAAAAAAAAAAAACATCAGAAGATGTAATATAGCATGGTAGCAAAAAAATAACAACTTGGCGTCATACAATGTGAATTGCATCACAACTGTATGTTGTAAGGCTTCCTCCCGTTACAATGCACTCAGCCATAATTACTCATTGTCATCAGCTAGAGCATCAACAAAGTGCGCATAACGCTTTACAGATGTGCAGCTTTTACCATGCTTCTCTGCAGAATGACAAATGGCATAGTGGGTGCTTTCCTACTTCACAAAGTTATGACGATATATGGTCGAGGCAGTATCTTGCCACTGCAGTTGCGGTGGTCGTCCCAAGAGACTTAACAAGCTCTAGAAAGGCCACTCTTCCAGCTTTCGCTGTGATTGTGCTGCGTGTTTTGGGCAGGCCTAGCATTTTTATGAAACTAATTCTTCGGGTAGGGCAGCCGTGGCCTCTTGGTTAAGTGTGCGCTTTGGCTGCAGGAGATCGTGGTTTCGAATTCACGTTATTTTTTATTATTTTTTTTTCAAAATGGGCACAAGCGTTCTCTGTCATGACACTCGGCTGCTTTTAGGGGTGACATGCCTGGAAACGGCAACCTACGCCATTTAAATCCCATCAGAACATGTGAGCACACACGAAAATTCATTTTGCCAGGTGACTGAGCTGATGTCACAGCCATGATGTTCGAGCTTCTCTGTGTCTTTGTCTTTTGCGGATACAAAGTGCACTGCCCACCACAGGAGAAAGCAGTGTTTGAGGGGCAGAACGTTTTGGCCTGCAATGGCACTCCTGGTTGGTGCTATAAAGTTGTGGCTGGGTGAGGAGAAAAAAGGCAGGTTTCGTCGCAGTGCAACATATTGCCACAATCCGTCCTCAAGTTTTGTTGCCGCCCCGTTACACTGTAAGCAATGTTCAGCGCAAACCGCGCCTGCAGTGTTCGAGAAGCTTCGGGACTGTAGTAGATCATTTTGTTGAGATTACAAGCGCAACATGAATATTACAGATTGTTCTTAAACTTGCGTGGCCACTAGCGATAATGCCAGAGTATTCGACAGCACATGTATAAATGCTGACACACTTTACCGCTTGTCATTTGATCGATGGCTGATGCTCTTTTCATCACTATCAGTGCCAGTGTGCATCGCTGTAATCTGAACACACCAATGGATATTGCTTCACTGTAATCTGAACACCCAAATGGATATTGCAAATGGATATTGATAATTCTTGCTCTGCGAAGTTGAGATTACAGTAGAATCTCAATGATACTATTACGGCAGATGGCTGATGCAATTTGCAATGATACGAATTTTAATGTTGCTCCGGATGGACTGCACTATATAAAATATGCCGTGATTCGATGTTATATGAATGGTTTTCTTAGCAACGACGGATGATAGGAACACACGATTGACCGCTGCACGTGAGCAGCGCAACAGTGGCTTATCTGTGGGAGGAAGGCCCGTTCACACTTTGCCTTGAAGAGAGTGAATGCGGCAAAGCTTACTGGAATTTCCTTCGCTTCACCGCTGCAAAAGTGGCCGGAAAAAGATGCCACGAGGCCAACATGAAAAAAAAACACGGTTCAAGACCAATTTTGTCACCACAGGATAGCGGATCACCTTTCGGCTACGACTTTGGCTACACCGACTGTGTTCTCTCTCAAACCATGTGATATAAACAAGCCGTACATTCAAGATGGCGGCCAAGGTGTCGGTTAGTGCAGTGTCTCGCGTTGGCGCAATCGCGAACTACCCGCGCAGCACAACAAAGCTCACAGCCTTAAAAAAGACGCGTTCATCGAGAGCCTGGTTTGAATTACGATCGCAGCTAGCAATGGAAGTTGAAGAAGGTGCAGCAGAAGCGAGTTGGCATGCCCTAACATGTCTCTCTTTTGCACTGCCGGCTGAATTTGTCGCCACTGCTGCCGGTGCATCTGCTCATGTCGTTTCTTCTGAAGTATCTCCCGGAACAATGTTTTAAGGGTGTAAACTGTTTCTTTTCAGTGCTTTGCATGCATAACTAGAATTCCGTGGGGATTTTAATGCCCAGGAATAAATTCTCAAGCCGCAAAGACGGCAATGGTGGCATGTATACGAGGGACAGAACGAATGTGAATATTTTCGACAGGCGCGGACGTGGTTTTGCGATCGCTATGGCGTTTTTGCTTGAATTCTGGAGTGGGAGTTTTATTGGACTAATTTTTTTCGTATCGACTGCACGGTGCGTCTTTCCGGCCGTTTAAGCGGTGAAGCGAGTGAATCTTCAATAAGTTTTGCCGCTTTTGCTCCCTTTGATGCCAAGTGCGAACGCACCTTATAGCGCCAGCAGCATGAGTGAGGAAACCGCAGCAATTTATTGAGACACGGTGAAGACAAGAAAGTTAAAAAAAACATGATGGACTTTTTTCAGCAAGGAGTAGTTGACCCCATTAAAATTTTTGTTCATCTTCATCATTAGCTTTAACTGGTTTTTGGTTCATACGAATTCAGGATGATACAAATATGTTGCATGCTCCTTTCAAATTCGTATCATCGAGATTCTACTGTATTTATACTATGAATGAGTTGAGTTTTCTTGTAGCGATCACGGTAGTGATTTCATAGCTTGCACTTTCTGTACAAAGAATACTTGCTGAAGTACAACATTGTACTCTCTGTTTTCTGCAGAAAATCTCCTCCAAGGTGGAAATCAAGGACAATGTTGTTAGCAACCATATCCAGATCAGCTACACGTCCAGCTGTCTCGGGTAATTTTCTTCCGCTGGTTTTTTTTTTTTTTTTTTTTTTTTTTTTTTTTTTTTGGCAGTCGGTGAATGAAATGTGGTCTAGAAGAATTGACTGTTGGGCTCATTGGTCACGCATAACTGTCCGAGACATACTAGCGCAATTGAAAAGCGGACTAACTCAAGAAGACAAATGTGGTTTTTTTTTTTTTTTTTTTTTTTGGTGTGTGTGCATGTTGCTTTTCTCTTTCACCTTGAATGTGCTTACAGAGGCAGAGTACTGGTAGTAAAAATGCAGGTACTATCTTTCTAGAAGCCTTTTGTTGCCCATCTCATAAACGAAGTGAGTTGGTCACGTCCCAGCATTTATTTTTCTTTGTTTTGTTTTTTGTCATGTGAAGGCGTGAATGCACACCACTCCTTTTTGCTTTTCTGCAGTTGTGCGCTATCTCGGGCATTTTATAGTCCTGTTTCGTGTGCGGCCAGCTATGCTTTATTTGGGTGCACTCCACTCACACTACTTACTCAGCTTGACCTACTGTGAATGGTCAGGGATAAGAAATGAGGGACAGCCAAGCAAAAAAAAAAACACTCGCCCTCATTGTTGTTGTCTTCACTTTATTTGTCATGAGGGACAGCACACTGGTTGTATCATAATGAGAATTTACAATTGCTGAAAAGTTTCTTTTTTTTTCGTATGAAAATGTGGAGAGTGTTCACTGTACTATACGGGAATCGGGCAGGCCATGATTAAATAATGTCAACAATAATTGACAGTGCCAAGAATTTTTACATTGAATTTTACTCAGCATCCAAAACCTGCGTTTATTCTTTAGTTATATAAAATGTATCATGAGTTAAAAATGTGGCCAATTGTTCGATATGAACATTTTTTTCAGTGCCAATTAAACTCATCAATTTATGGGGTAAAATAGATAGAATGATATCGGGTAAAGCCAGAAGCCCAGAAAATAGAAGGTGCCATGTTAAACACAGCTCGCCTTTTGTCCAGTGTGCAACATGCACCATGACCTGATACTACTGTCACGTGGCCATGTATGCACGGGCCAAACTTGCCGATGATTAAATGTTTGCGTACGGGAGCACGAAAGAGAGGTAGCGTCAAAGAAAGGTGCCCACTCGGCATAGCATTGCACCATGGGCGGCTGCTCGCCCTTTTTCGTTGGCGCGACCAGTTTATCTAGGCATCAAAATAAAACCATCCGTGAACCCACCCGTGAAGCCGCTGTACTGCGGCTTTTTTCCGCTACCCTCATATTTCTCAAGGAGAAATAAAAGCTGATTGATTGAAAACAAAAACGAATTGGAGCTTTGCATATTAAGATATGTTGGGAATGATGTGTCAGGCCTATTGCCTCGTCAGAAAAGGACTGGTGCCCTTCTGTGAATAACACGCTACACTAAACTTTTTGGTTCCCACAACCCCTCTCCTACTGTCTTTTTTTTATTTTCGTCTCCATCTCTTTTGTTTTGTTTAGACATGTACTTTCATGTTTTTTGTCTGATGGGGATAGTCGTTCTCTTCCATTCAATAAACTTCCAGTTGTGAGTGTGCAGTGTGTGCTTGTGTCGTTCTCTTCTTTAGTCCCTGTTCTGTACTGCCCCTCTACTTTTTGCAGTTAATTTAATATTCTTCCTTGAATTACTTATAATATCTGCTTGAAGTTTCCTTGTGGACTTATCTTTCATTTTGCAAACCTTTGAGTAGCACCTGTACGCTTGTGCAGCCCGGTCGGCACCTGATGTCGTCGGTCATTGCTGATGCACGCGTCAGCGTACAGTTTTATGAATTGGGTGGGTATGCTGCTGTCTCTTTCTAATGATCGATTGAAAAAAATCTGAAATGGGTCAGCGGCTGTACGTGTAGAAATTTTACCTCTCAAACAAAGTAGCTGGGCAAATGTACTCATGCTGCAAATGTTTCGACGAAGGGGATCAAAGTAATTGTTGCATTCACGTTTCAACTTGTAAATGTGTTTATGTGCTCATGCAGTTTTAATTTTATGCCCTTGCAGGGACAAAAAGGAGAAGACGAATGTATGCAAAGGTCTCAAAGTGGGCGACAACGTGAGTGAATTGCTGAGAATCACATTGTGCACGTTGGCATGGGGTTATGGATTGATAATGAGGCACTGCTAGGTTACGTGTCCATTTTACATGCGACGAGAAGATCTGTTACAAGTGTGCATTTTTATGTTTAAAAGGAACAGATTGTGTTTTTGATTTTACGGAGATTACTGCAAATGATTCTGTCTCAACTAAGTGAAATTCTTCTAAAGTGTGAAATTCTTCTAAAGTGTGAAATTCTTCTAAAGAGTCACTTTGAGACTGGCATTTAAAAGGTGAAGATGCAACACAATGTTGGAATTGGATAATATAGCGCTTGTTTAACACTATGCACTGATGTAGAACACTCTACAAAAGAGAAATGGTAATTCTGTAATTTTTCTTTTTGAAAATGATTAGAGAAATAGAGGGTTAAGGAGCGTTGTGAAAATGCCGTTCACCTAGAACATTCTGTACTCTGAACATAGTAGAGCATAATTGGAGAATTAATGTGTCTGAGCTATTGAAATTACTCAGATTAAGTAGTTTGTAACAGTTGTGCGAACGGGCACTTCAGTCACGATGACCCTTTGCTTTTGCTTGATTTGCACGTTTTGTCGTGACAGGTGACTTTCGAGGCAATGATTGAAGTCAAGTCGTGCCCGAAGGACCGCAGCCAGTGGAACCAAACGATACAGATCTACCCTGTTGGCATAAGCGAATCGCTCACTGTGCACTTAGAGATGATCTGCGAGTGCGACTGTGAGAAGCCTTGGAATGAGGTGAGGCCACTAGATTGTTGAAAGGGTGCTAATGTTAAATGCTTAAGGCAGCTATGAACGGTAATGATTCTTTGAGGTCTCTAACGTCGATAATTTTGTGATCATAGGTCTATTACTAGCAGAGAAAACAAAAGTCAGTGTTAAGTTACCATATTTACTCGATTGTAACATGAGGTGAAACTTCCAGAAGGAAAAAAATAAAGCAAGATTAAGAGGATTGTGTGCATCATTGCACTTTCTAAACATGAATTTAAGTAATTCAATTTTAACACAAGAATTGACTTCAGGTGACAAAAATCTGGAAAAAACATGTGTTACATTTGAGTAAATACTGTATTGATTTTGTGAAGTGAGAGTAACCAATTGATTTTGTGGTAGCCAGGAGTTTAAGATATCCAGATTCATGTACCCAGATTTTTTCTTCTTTGAAACTGGTGTGTTACATAAAGAACAAGCGTTTTTGATTGATGTTGGTAAGGCCCTCCATATGAATGGCTTCTTCCTTTTTTTTTTTTTGACAGCCATGATTCTTCTTTACTCTTTTGTTTTATTTAGCCATCCGAAAATCTGGCATATGCTCACTAACAATAAAAACTTGTGCAGGAACCGAACAGTCCCAAATGCTCGGACGGAAAGGGCACCTTTGAGTGTGGCATCTGCAACTGCTACAACAACCGTTACGGTCGAGAGTGCGAATGCGATGCCAAGGACACTGATCAAATCAGGGATGAGAAAGGATGCTTCTTGTGAGTGTGGATAAACTCTGTGTTTAAGGCTTTGGTGGAGCCCAATTTCGTACAGTGTCATTTTTACAGGCATTTTCTGTGTTTTCATAACCGTGTTGTCTTCGTTTCCATAATGTGTGAAGGAACAATAAAGATACCATTTGATGCAATTGGCAGATGTCATTCTAATAAGTGAACTGCAGATTCTAGCCTGATTAGGAATTAACTGCTGTTCATTAGCAAAGTAAGCATATGTAAGATGCAGTACCTAGATATGCAGAGTTAGGTAATTTGCTCAGCTGGCATTTGATACATTGCAGCAGCTACAAACAATGGCATGTCTAGAGACGGAGGGACTATTGTTTAGAGTTATAAAATCACTTGGAGGATAGTGGGTAGAGATGTATGGGTGTTTTAAGAAAAGCTTCAAGCAGGTGACCACGGCGACTAAATAAAAGCAATGGGGATCCTTGTTTCACACAGGTGGCTCGTTGTACGTAGTGAAAATATGCCCTAGCTAAGGTTTCTGACTACAAAAGAAAAGAATAAATAAATAAATGTTTATTTCTATTAATTACAGTGAGGCCTCTAGCTACTCTAGAAGCTATTGTTATCCCTGAAGGTTAAAGGATGAACAATTGTGTTCATGTTGGGAAATGTTTAAAGGTGTCTTCATGTGTCATTTTAATTAAAAGTTGGTGAATGAAATGGCTGATACAAAAGGGAGGTTGGCTGAGAAAAGAAATCTTTGTTTTGTTGGTAAAGTCATGCTATAGTGAAAGTGTATGTGAAAGCTACCGGTCAAAGTTATTTAATATTTTCCTGAGTTCAGCCTGTCAAGTGTGGCTACAGTTTCTTTTCAGTGTAATTGCACATTTTGTTGTAGATTCTCGGTGGAGCTGTGTAGTGTTCAGAATTTTTAAGTTGAGGGCAGTATTATATATTAATGAGGGCTAAAGTAACATGGTGCTACTGTTTAAGTTATATTTCCTAACCTAACAGGGCACAATATTCACTTTGCACACGCCTTTCATGAAGTCGTAATGGCAAGTGGTCATATGTGATGCTTCCGGTTTGCAGCCCCAACGACACTAAGCCGTGCTCTGGAAGGGGAGATTGCCGTTGTGGTGTTTGCGAGTGCCACCCAAGGGAGGTATGTTTGTTTTGAATGTCGTGTAGATTTTCACGCTAGAACTTTTAATCGACCTAGGGAACATATTTGACTACATTTAGTAGCGTTACTCCGGAAGTAGTGAAGCACTCTGCTGATAGTAAACTGAAAAAAGAGAACTGACTTAAACACTTTGTGCGATGCTCACAAGCAAAGATATTTCACTTGGTTCAGGGTTTGGCCCTTGCTATGTTTTCTTTGAGAGAATAGTAATTTTTACAGCTGAAGTCCTCTCTTTCTTATATGTGCTTTATGGAACCCGGCAATATTGGATCAGGAGTAAATTTGCATGAAAAATATTGGGGCTACAACATCTCTTTTACACTACCTCGTCTTTGCACTAACTTCTTGTGGCTAAAGGAGCCTTTGCAGAAGTCACAGGTGTTTTGTTTGCCACTTGCGAGGTGTTGCATTCTTGTGCAAGATGCCGCTAACCAATGGTCAGTGATGCTTGGTTCTCTTCTGACTCTGTACCTGATTGCACTGCTGCTTATTTTCTTCAGAACCGAGAGGAGACTGTGAGCGGAAAGTACTGCGAGTGTGACAACTTTTCGTGCGATCGAGTCGATGGATTGCTTTGTGGAGGCAAGTTTATCCTCATCGCTGTCGTTTTGCTTGTGGAGCTATGTTTGATGATGTGAAATATTTCACTACATGAATTATCTGAAAAGATGATGAGAACTTAGGTCGTGTGCATTTTATTCTGTAATAGCTGTATTCCTACATTTGTGCCTGAGTACAAGTGGCATAAAATGTTGATTTAAAAGGTAAACTCTAGGACCCTTTGTTGAAGCTCAATTCAAGTTTAACTTCTTTTGTTCTAGAATAGGCAGAGAAGACAATGTTGAATCTTGTAGCATTTCTTGAACCATACAGATGCAATAGACACTCTGTTCATTGAAGTCAAAGAGGCGAGTAGTTGTCAAATCTCTGCAAGAAATTAATTAAAGGAAGCTTACGTATTGTCGAAGACATGCAAAAATGTACCTCATGTTTGAAACAAGCAAGCTTTCAGCACCCTTTATAATAATCAACGTAGAATGATTCATTACGTTGCTTGTTGCTAATCACATGAGTGTCAGTTTTGATTGTAAGTAGGTTCTGCCAGAATTCAATAAAATGTATTTACATTTTTGGGAGATTGTCACATGAGTGTCAGTTTTGATTGTAAGTAGGTTCTGCCAGAATTCAATAACATGTATTTACATTTTTGGGAGATTATAGGCCATACAGGAAACTCAAAACTGAACAAAACGAAGTGATACTCTTACACTAGGACATGTAATTTAGAAAGGATCCTGTCCCTTTGATTTTCGCAGCACTCTTCCAGTGTTTGCATAGGGACATGCAAGCGTTTAATACCAAGTTGACTACTGTTCTACTGTGATGTAGGTGGTAAAATGTGTGACGACGCAAGCATGCATGTGTACACGTGTAAAAGTGTCGCAGAGTATACTTTATGAAGTTTTTGCACGTAACGGATCAAATCGTGATTGTTTCTGCATGTATTCCTGCCTTCAGTTTTCTTTTTGGCCACATCACTGGCTGTCGCGTATCGGCTTTGTGTTGTCATTTTTTTTTTTGTGGTGCCCCTCCTAGCTCAATGCCCGAATAGACCATGAAAATAAGCATTTTGAAAAATGAACGGATAAAGAAGCATGCATACATAGTGCAGCATTGTGGTGCAGCTTGAGTTAAATGGTATGCAACATGTTCCCACTGGCTAGGTTGCTTGTGCCCTGCTTTTTATTTATGCTTTCTATAATGGTATCGTGGATGCAGAACATAAGTGGGGCTGGGTCTATTGCCTGGCGAATCCTGCCAGAGCAGGGGTGGGCAACCTGCGGCCCACGGAACAGTTATGCCGCCTTGGGCATGACGTCAGAACTCTCACACCCCTCCTCCCTTGTCGCTCCCTATCGGAAGGCCGATAAGCCACTTTTGACATCAAATGGGGTTTTCACTTGTAGCCTGTGCCTGTAAATTGCTACCTTATGACATGGATACTGAAAAAAAAGCATGTTTTTCATTGTAGTCTTGTACTTCATTGGAAATTCGCTCAATTTTTTCTCATTGCCTGCCCCACCCTTTCCTTTTCTGATGATTTGATGTCCCGCTTTCGCTGTGTCATCTTGTGCACATAGGCCCTCAGCCGCTGAAAGTTGCTGACCCTTGTGCTTAATTAGAGCATGCTTAAACAGGACATTTCATTTAAGGTGAAGGATGTTTCTACTAAAGGACGTTTTATCATGCACATGCATATTCTTGTGTAACATTTTGGCTTCGCACTTCATGATACGGAGGTTATTTACTCAGCCTTCAGTGCACGTTTTATATCTGAAGGATGTGCGGCCTTGCCAATACGGAGAAATTCAACTTGTGTGCTCGTGTACCTCTTCCTTCTGGGTACTGGTAGCATCTGTATATGCATTGAACAGCAACAGCAGTATTGAAGCTGCTGTCAAATGTGAAATTGTTTTCATGCGTAGGTGAAGAACAGGGCAGCTGCATCTGCGGAAGTTGCGAATGTAGGGATGGCTGGACTGGACCTAACTGTAACTGCCGAGACACGAACGACACCTGCATCGGCCCCAATGGGGTTAGTATCGACTATGGAGCATTCTTTCGATTCATAAGAAACGGGCCTCCATAACATGGACTGTTAACACCGTTGCGGTCTGCCTTGGTAGTAGAGTGGTTATGATACTCAGCTGCCGATTCGAAGTTTACTGGCTTGATCCTGGCTTCTGCAATCGATGGAGGCAAAATGGTAGAGGCCCAAGCGCTGTGTGATGTCAGTGCACGTAAACCCTTTGAGTTTATTTTGCCGTACGTGCGCGGCGGCAGTTTTTTGTCTCATAGTGTCTTTGCTGTACGGGTACGTTTTCAAACATTCACTTAAAATTTTGAGCCATAGTAGCAATGCATGCTCACTGGGGGGTGCTGCCACCTCCTAGGATTTACAAAAAGCATTGGAAATGATTTTGCTACGTTCTTGCGAAGATAAACAGATCTGATTTCTAGAGTCAGTTGGACGCGCTTCGCAGATAAGCCAATGGGCAATGCCTTTATGTGGTTTCAGCTTCAGTGTGGGGAACTTTATTTTTGTCTTTATCGGCCCTTCCTTGCAGGGGTGGCGAAAGTTGATTTTCATCTTTATTTGCGCTGCTCTCAGCTTGTTTATATCTGACACTCGCAAGGCATTCTTGTTGCCCTTAAGGGGACAAGGTTCTTGAAATTGCACTAAATTGTAAAAAATGCTGACTTTCAAAAATTGCATTTTGAGGTACTTATAGTCGAAAGTATGTTTTGTACAAGTTTTATGTTATGGGAAAATACCTTCTCTTTTTGTTAAAAGCTTAATATATGAAATTACATAAGTTTTTAAATCTGGAAATGTATTTTTCTTGGCATTGTTATTTTTGTAAAGTGAATCTGTCTTAAGGGAGTTTTGAGCAAGTTTCTGTGAAGATATTTAAACAAATTTGGTACCATTCTTTTCTGCAGCACATAAAACACAGGCTAAAGCTTTTCCTTTTCTCTCAACCTTGATAGCATTGTAATTATAGGATAAATATCAGCTAATTACTGGAAGCTCATTTCAACCTTCCAAGTCTAAAAATAATTTCTGATCAAAGAAATCGCCGCTTTCACATCTAGTTTGCTTTAGCCTGTAGCATGAACTTTTAGAGGAAACATGTAATTTTGAAATCTAACTTTTTTTATTGTTGGTTACCATAAAGACCCATAAGAAATTACCTGATTATGATGTGGAAATTTGTCATTACCCTTTTTCTTTCAAATGAGATATTTTAAATCTGTTTGCAGATTTGAAATTTCCGTTCAATGGTACGCATGCATGGTAATTTTCATAACAGTAGGATAATAAATAAAAAAACATTTCTCAAGACCATCGTGCCCCCTTAATTACCAAGCTTACTCTGCCCAAGGCAGCCACATGCAGAGAAGATGCCATGTCTACTATGTGGCTGCACAACTCGTCAATCCTAAAGAACAGACACACGTTGTATGTGTGCAGACTGCATTGAGGCACATTGCGCTCACCAGTGTTTTAAGGAGTACCACGCTCTGAAATACTATTGAACATTGTAGACTTCTGAGTGACACTGGAATCAAAATATTTTTCCTGAATTCTTAAATAACTCTTTTTTCTGACTTTGCACATTTTGTACATTAAAAAAACCACAATAAAGTAATTTGACCATCTGTAAAAGTTTATTATTATTATATTTTTTTCAAAAAAAAATCGACACTCTAACATGGCTAAGATTTCTGGAGCCCTCCACTACGGCACACCTCGTAACCGTGTGTTGGTTTTGGCACACAAAACCCTAGATATTATTATTACTGTTGTGGGTAAATTTTTCAAATGCTGCAAGCAAATGTGGCAAAAGGAATTTGAAGGTGGCTGCAATTTTCGTCAGCAAGTTTGGCATCCCATCATTGTCAAGTTTAGAAAGTTTGGTGGCGGGAGGTGGGAACCTTATTTGCAGTGTCAGGTTGCTCTCACAGTAAGGTATTGTGCTAGATCCCTGGTGTCACTCAAACCACCTAGGTGGGGTAGTACAGTTTGAGAGTGTATGCAAGGCTCCATTTACATTTTTTTCTATGCGAGTGTGTGCAAACCATTTCGAGGACTAGTGCGCGAAAGCGATGTTGTACTTTAGTGTCGGTGTTTTTCTGTGCTTTGAAATTGACAATTCCTCAAGTAGGCTCACGCTTGCTTTCATGTGTTCTTGTAGCATGATGCAAGTTCTTGGCTTTAAAGGGGCAATGAAGGCAAGTGACATTTTATGTCAGGGTGCGAGGTCAATATTTGAGAAGATCTGCAGCATCAATTTTATGCATAGCAGCGTTTTGGTAACCTAGAAATTAAGGTAAACATACAACGCGATTTGCACCACTAGTGGGACTGTCTAGAACACAAGACCGATGGTGCTCTGGGGCGTCGTTACTTAACAAGCCCGACGAGGTTCCCGGAATGCTATTTGAGCACTTCACATTGATTTAATATTTGCCGTCAATGTCTCTTTAAGCGCTAGATTTTTTCTGTTCTTCACTCAGTGCACTGCTCCATCCAGCTTTTCACCCATGCAAGAAAGAGCCTGCAAGTGATGTCAGAGAAATGTTGACATGATTCTTTTTTTCTCAAACAGTGGTCTTCTGACTCGTAAAAGTCTTTCTAATCAGACTCGTTTGTGTTTGCATTGCAGAAAATCTGCAGTGGCTACGGTGACTGTGTCTGCGGGCAGTGCAAATGCCTCGAATCAGACGAGGAGCGTTACAGCGGAGTCTTCTGTGAAGATTGTCCCGTGAGTGCCAGCCTTCTCGTGCTTTGCTTGGTGCATGCAATTGGGTTTATGTATGTATCTTTTGGCAAGTCTTGAAATTCTCTTGATTATTTCTTATACAAACATGGCTGATACTAATAAAAAAACAAAAAAATCTAAGGCAAGAAATCTATGGAATTCATGTGGCACTTTTCTGTGGAAGCTTTGATGCAGACGAAGTGTTCGCAGTGTCACTCTTTTTGTAGTGTAAAGGTTTCTTGCAGTGTAAAGGTTTCTTGTTTTTTATGACAGTGCTCTGTCGCTGTGTCTCTTATGACCAGGACGTTGCCTTGGTGTATAAATCTGTTGCTAATTCAACCGTAACTTATATTTAACTTGCATACATTTATGCAGACCTGCCCTGGAAAATGCGAGGCGTTCAAGGACTGCGTGCTGTGCCAAGTCTTCCAAATAGGACCCTACACTGAGGAAGAGTGCAAGACTAAGTGCGAGTTCTTGGCCATTCAGGCTCCGCACATTGAAGGTACGGCAAGAGAAACGACATATGACATTTTGCAGAAACACTGATCACTCAAATAATGTTCTCATCTCTCATGACACCACCAAATTTTCAGTTGCTCTTTTGCTGTTAGTTTTGTTAGAAGTAGTAGAATTGTTCTCTTAACTCCAATGGTTTTTTACATCAGTGCCTTTGTAAAAAGATTCAACAGCAATTTGTTTGCAAGCTTTTTACTGTTTGCAGAATACTGGGTGATTTATCGTATTTTTGCACGTATAACCCGCCCCTGCATATAATCCGCACCCCCACTTTCAGCTCACCGAGATAGAAAAAAAAATTCTCGCGTATTGCCCGCACATTTCATATACAAGAAAGGCTGTACAAAAGCTACTGCTCAAGCAACATAGCACATATGTAGAAAGAAAAAGCTTTATTTAGCCAGCAGAATACGCTGTCTGCAAGGCCAGTCACAATTCACTCACTGTCGCTGCTCTCGCTAGAGCTATCACTTGAGCCGCAGTCCTCACTGTTATGCACAAGGTCATCTTCGGTTCCACCCATGTTGTTTGTGATGCAGCATTTCTTAAAACTTTTTCGCACCATCCCACCTGGAATGGCCTTCCATGCCTCGACAATCCACTTGCATAATTGGGCAATATCAGGCCTTCGGACTTGTCCTGTCGGCGTCAAGTCGTAGAGGCCTTTGGCCATCCACTCGGCATAATAGCGCCTGACATGCGCTTTGAAGGGCTTGTTAAGCGACACATCTAGAGGCTGCAACATTGACGTCATTCCACCGGGTATAACAACTACCGTAATTACTCGAATCTAACACGCACCTTTTTTCCGGTTAAGCGAGTTCATAAATCGCGTGCGCGTTGGAATCGAGTACGAATAAAAAAATTACGGTCAATCTATTGCCATCGGCAAATCCCAAATGGCCGCCCCCTACGTGCGTCGGCATGGCACATCGGCCATTTCTGCCTATGTGTTTCCCATGTGCGGCACTTCGTACGTGTGCTGAGGAGTTCGTCATCTAGTAGTGCATTAGCATCGACGGCGTAGAAGGGCCGACTCCAAAAACTCGAGTGCACCACGATGCCGCTTTTAAAAGAAAAGTCATCGCGTGTGCAGAAACGGACGGAAATCGGGCCGCATCGCGGTCGTTCGGAGTTCCCAAAACGTGCGTGCGGGACCGGCGGAGACAAAAGCAGAAGATTGTCGACAGCAAAGCTTCACGCAAAGGACCACAGCAGGGTCGGTTTCCGCAAATTAAAGAGCTGCTCGGCGAGCATGTGCTTGAGCAGCGAGCGGCACAGTGGCCCGTGACGACAGAACTGCTCCAAGTGCGGGCTATGCAATTAGTCTTAGAAAAAAGTCTAATGCGGAGCCAGTTTAAAGCGAGCAGGTGCTGGCTAACTAACTTTATGAAGAGGAAAGGCTTTTCCCTCCGAAGGGGAACATGCATATGCGAAAAGCTTTGCGGAGGAGTACGATGAAAAGCTTCACAGTTTTCAGAGGTTCGTCCTAAACTTGCGGCGCAACAACGGCTGCCTGCTTGGGCAAATCGAGAATGCTGATCAGACGCCTCTTTACTTCGACATGCCTGGCACCACAACCCACGAGAAGAAGGGGCGAAGCAAGTTCGCGTGCTGACATCGGTCCACGGTAAAGCTACAGTGACGGCAATGCTCTGTTACACGTCAGATGGGCACAAGCTTCGCCCGTACCTCATATTTAAATGGAAGACGCTCCCGAAAGGAGTCGTTTTTTCGAGGGGTGTGATCGTGAGGGCCAGCGAGAAAAATGGGTGCGCGTTGCAATTGATGTCTTACATTTTTTTTTTTTTGCGGTTGAAATCGGGTGCGCGTTACAATCGAGGGCGCGGTAGAATCGAGTAAATACGGTAAGTCGGTGCTGTTGCATGAAAGGCGGTCCTTCACTTCCTCAGTTATGTGTGCACGGAACGAGTCAAAAACGAGCATGGACCTCTTTGCTAGCACCGCAGCGGGCCTCTTCTCCCATACCGTCTTCATCCAGTCCACAAACAAGTCACTGTTCATCCACGCGTTCTCGTGTGCGTGCACCACCACACCGGCAGGCAAATGAATCTGGTAGAGTTTTTCTTTTCAAGATGACATACGGTCGCAGTTGCGTGCCGTCGGCGAGGGCACAAAGCAAGACTGTGATGCGCAGTTTCGGGTTCCCGCCGGTCAGCACGCTCACCGAACTGCTGCCCGTCTTCTCAATCGTTGTGTCCAACGGCATTTCAAAATTAACAGGAGTTTCATCCGCATTGCCGATTTGCGAGAAAATGTAATTGTGCTGCTTTTGCAGGCCAATTACATATCTCTGGTACTTAGGCAGCTTCTCCTCATAAGAAGCCGGCAAGCGTTGACATATTGTAGTCCGCCGTCTGATTGAGAGCCCTTGCCACTTCATAAAGCAGTGCAGCCATCCGCGGCTCGCACGGAACTCGTGAGGTAGGCCTAACTCCCTCGAAAGTCGGCGCGCTTCAACTTGGGCCATCTCGGTCGATACGGCGTGACCCCTGCTTCTCCCATCTTCGATGAACTTTACTAGCTCCGCCTCCAGCTGATGGTAGGCACCGGTCTTAGGGCCACGAAATGACCTACGGTCGCGGTGCGCGGCTTGTAGGCTCTCTTTCTTCTTTCTCCACAGTCGCACGCAGGACTCGTCGACATCGTGCCGTCTTCCCGCTTCGCGATTTCCGAATTCTTTGGCGACGGTGATGATCGTAAGCTTTTGCTGTGCCGTGAAGGACTGCCGCCGTACGCTACTCATGGTGACAGAACAGATCGACTTAGGCTTCCACGACTTAGCACTACCCCTTCTAGTACACTGTAACAGCGCCCTGGAAACAACAGAACCGAAATGCATGCCTGCTACCGCGTTAAAAATAGTACATAAATTTACTGATAACATCTCTATCTCTCTCGCGAACGTCCATAAAATATACTTGTGGTGTGACAGTGAGATTTTACACTGAACAATCGAATTGTCTCTCCCCAAATGTTTTTCTAAACGCTTTAATGATGCAAGCAAGCGAAACCAAAATTGGCCGCAAGCTGCCGTGCTACTTGCGGAGCAACACGAATTTGCAGAAACTGCCTCCGTAGCCATTGCTACACTGTTAAGGGACTTCACAGCACAACACGCATTGCTGTGAAGCAGCACTATAGAAAAAACCCCGCGTAATATTTACACCTCCACTTTGCCCCTGAAATTTTTGGGTTTTTGGTGCGGGTTATACGCGCGAAAATATGGTAATATGTAAATGTTAGCAGCAAGGCTGAATTATTTAGGAACACCAACACAGAGCTTCTATTGCATTAAAGAACCGAATTTTACTTAACTCCTTATGCAAATGCTTGGTACGGCATAGCAGTGGACCCTAATGCCTTTGCATGGAGGAAAGCTTGTGAAATTGGACCGAACCTCTGGTAGACATTGTGGTAACACAATATATCATAAGATGTTGCTTCCATTGCTTGATAACTATGTATGTATTACACTAACACCATTGCACTTATTTAAATGTGTGTAGCTAAGGAAGCGTTACACCGAGCTGTTCGTCAAAGATGTGACAGGGAAGTGCTGTGAATATGTGTGACTGTATACCATAACATTCCGAGCAAGTGGCTCTCCCTGAGGCCACCTTTCTTGTTTAGATTTGAAGTATGTGCCAATGACCCAATCAGCCCCCCCCCCCCCCCCTCTCCTGCCATCGTTATCAGTGTTTTAGAGACTCGTTATTCAACCAACGATGCGAATGAAAACAGTCAATGCATGCTGTTTAATAATAAATAATTTCAGTAGAAACACACATGTTCATTCTTTATTCTGAGCAGCTCTTTCACCAAAGTCCTGTCTGTGACTGAGCAAAGGTTTTCCCTCCAAATCTTTTCCCTCCAACTGTAGAGGGGCATTTGCTTGGTCGTGGATTTTGCGGTATACAAAGATATGAACATAAGTTTGGATACCTATTTTTTTTTAGAGCTGTAGGTTTCAAGAAATTTGATTTGTTCTTTTGGGGGGTGCGACAAGTGTGGATAACGTTATGTGAGAAGTGGCTTATAAGTGAAAAAGTACAACATTTAGTGTTGTTCCCGTGCCTTCTATTTCAACAGCAAGATGCTAACAGTGTATCAAAATGTGCGCCAAGTCTTTCACTAGCCTATTACAGGCAAACCTCAGTTATGCTTCCTTTGTTTAGTTGTGATTTTATTTTTTTTTCATTTGACGATGTACATGTATGCTCATTACAAACGTTGCGGTATTTCTATGGATAATGTAACTACAGTTTTAGTGAGGTTTGACATTGTGTTGTTTGACATTGTGTGGTTTCTTTTCCTATATTATTTAGACCAGTGGTTCTCAAATGAATGTCTGCGGATTCTAGGAGATCCAAGAAGCCATTTCTATGATCCGCGAAACCCTCACCCTCTTTTTTTTTTGCATTAAAAAAAATTACATGTGCGACTCTGTTAAAGCCCGACTGTGCCACATATTGATGAACTGTCCAAAATTAAGTGATGTGGCGTGTTTGTTTGATGTTTTTGGTGGCAATAAAAGGCACCTGTTTCACGCTCCAGTTGTGTCAACTTACCTACATACCCTCCCCCTCCCCCCCCCCACCCTCCACTACAAGGGGTCCCCCATCACTTCCACCAGTCCAAAATGGGTCCCCGACACATCCATGGCTGAAAAACACTGATTTAGAGCATGATGCGTCACTTTGTTTATGTCATCTGGTTTTAATTTTTAAAATCTTTGCTAAACTTATAAAAAGAACTGGTAACATTTTAATCAGTACGTGATTCTTTCATATGAGTACCTTCACTGGCAAGTGTTGAAGTCAGAATTGCATGTTACTTAAAACTCTTGCCGTGCATCATACGCAGTCAACGAAGAAGGTGAGAAGCTGTGCATCTTCCGTGACGAGGATGACTGCAAGTACACCTTCATCTACAAGTTGGAGCCAACGAACGAGTATACTGTACGAGCCAAGAATGAGCGTGGTAAGTGGGAGCAGTGCTCTTTCTGCATTCATGAAAGCTCACGTTCACCTACCTTTATCATTTGCCTAAGTATATTGGGAGCTGAAGTTTTCCTCTGCTAAATTTAAGAATTGGGTGACATTCTCGGCTATGAAATCTATGATGGTCATATCGTTACTTTAAGAACGTAAAGCTCTTAAATTCATTTCTTTTTTTAACCTACCTCTAGCGCTTTGGATCGTCCAGGTCTGTTCGTGATCAAAAGCGGGTGCAATGTTCTTTCACCTTTGCTACGCAGAGTGCCCTAAGCCGGTAAACATTTGGGCCATCATTCTGGGTGTGATACTTGGCATCGTTCTCATTGGCCTGGCATTGCTCCTCATCTGGAAGCTGTTTACCACCATCCACGACCGTAGAGAGTTTGCCAAGTTTGAGAAGGAACGGCAGATGGCCAAGTGGGACACCGTAAGTGCTAATCTTCTGTTTTAAAGCCCCACTTGAGTGATTTGATACAATGAAATCGGACTGCATTCTCTTGTGCAATACCGGGCCACCCATGATGGCTGCAGCCAGCTTAGCACTATCAGTTGCATCATGTGTATGAATCGCGGATTGTGATGAGGTTGTCTTTTATGCTGCAAGTACTGCAACCAAATCATAGCTCGCAGACACCAGTTTTCTGCAAAACTTTTGGTTGTGTTCTAGCAGAGTCAACTTTTGGCTGGTTGACTCTTAAAGGGACACTAAATAGTAAAACAATTTTTCTCATATTAGGAAAACACTCTTTGGCAATACCGGAAACACCGCGCTTGGTGTGAAAAGACACTGAGTGAGCAACAAAATGTGCACAAAGAACATGTGGGTGGCAATTCCACCTTAAAGGACGCCTAAACCACTTTCGTTATATTTTCAAACATTTCAAGTGAACATGTGCATCGTGTGCAGAATGCCATCACGGTCAACGATGCCATATGTGACAGCGCTACAAGTGACTGGTGCGCCACAAATTCGAAGAAACAATCTCTCCTCCTCTTCGGGCCTTTCTGGCCTCTGTGCGACACGCAGCGCAATGCATTCTGACGCACTGCGCATTCATGCTGTGATAGGTTGAGCAATAAAAGGTGGCAAAAAAAAAAGGTGTGATGGGCAGAGAAATATGCGGAGGGGCGTTCGGTGAGAGGGCAAAGCGTCTCTGAGAGAGGTTACCAGAGGAGGGTAATCAAGAAAAAAAAATGAAAGCAGCTATTTATTTATTTATTTATTTCAGTACCATCAGGGCCCGAGGGCATTACAGAAGGGAGTGGGTTACATTTTTAACACAACATAATGAAATATCGTGCAATGAAAATCAGTACGTTTTGATAATCAAACACATTGAACTCCGCTATTCCGGCACTGTCTTGAAAAATTCTCACGGCTCTGTGTTTGTTGTACACTCGCGCACAACTTCCCCACCCCAACTGAATTTCGACCTCTGGGTGGTGTAGGGCCCTTTAGAAATTTCTGCACCGTTTGCCGTGATGTCACATATTTTGACACCACCTACTAGAGATTACGTATTTTCTTATCGATAAATATAAAGTACATTGTTCTCAGAGGGGGCCATAAACTTGACATACCAAGACTGAGGAAAGTTTATGGAACCAACAGTGCCAAAATACGATTAATAAACATTGAAATTCTTGAGGTCACGTGTTGAAAATTCTGGCGTGAAATTTTAAAATGAAACTTCGATCTAGATTTTCTCTGTTAATAATAGGCTTGTGCGAATATTCAAATGCTTCGAATATTCGAACGAATAGTAGAATATTCTAATTCGCTACGATTTGAATTTAAATTATCGAATATTCCAAGTATTCGACATGAACGAATAAATGTTTACTAAACCGCATGTAACTGCCTGTAAAGGTGGTTTCGCTGCTGTATAGTGGTGCTAAGCCGTAAAAGCATCTGTCCAGGAAACATTTGCTCTGCTGCAAAGCCCCATTTTAAATTTAAAGGGGCCTTGCGGCACTTTATGAGCATGGTCAGTAAATGCTGCCGATCGGTAGTTAAGGCCACCGTGAACGTGCGAGCTAAATATTCTAGCACAGCACGTGACTTGAAATTCGCAAAAAATTCTCAGTCAGATGAAATTGCTCTCTTCTCTCGGCAAAAGACGCCACAATGTCAAAAATTACTCGTAACAGCCATGGTATCAGCCATTGGCTGAATTGAGCATGGGGCACTCGGTCGTTACTGGGGCCGCTGCGGGTGGGCTCGACATGTCCACACGTATATGCGCGATCGCACTGAAAAGCCGCATATTATAAGAAAAGAAAAGAGATAAAGAGTGCTCAAGGTCACAACACGCACGTGACCTATTTTCTTTCCCTATACCATCTCTCCCGGCTTTGCTTCAAGCGCTTTTGTCAAGACGAGAAGAGAGAATGCAATTGCAGCATGTGGCAAATCTTTGCGACTCCGCTCGTATTGGACAGATTCTAAAACTTTTTGCGGCGGTTATTCATAAAGCAATAAGCTTCTTTAGTGAATCCATTCCATGGCAACTTGAAAAACTGTTGCAGGGTCCCTTAAATGAACGTGTGATCCTCAAATCGATTGATCATTTTTTAAGCTTAAAAAGGTTGTTTTGCTGGCTTATACACACTAGCTGTAATGAAGAATGTTACGTATTTTATAGGTTATCACTTGCCTTCTACTGGAAGTCAAATCCTGCTACTACCCAAAGTTGTTTCGACTTCTTTTGAGCGGAAAAAATTAAAAAAAGCTGTTGTATAGAGGCCTTGTTAAAATATATATATATTGTGCAGGTTAGTTAGGTCATAATAAATATGCCATTTTTCTTTATACGTCATATATTCTATTCTAGTTCGATTCAGAATAATCCAACTATTTATTCGCTTCGAATTTACTCCAAACCTAAAATTCACTATTCGCACAAGCCTAGCTAATAATAAACTTGCAATGGTGAAATAATGACTTCGACTTCTCAGAGTGCAATTTATCCATCTAAACTTGATTGTCTCTCTTTTGTGTCCCTATAAGAGATGGATAAAATGGGGAAGAGACAAAAAGAAAAATAGTGCATCTGGCTTTATGTTCGGCAATAAATTTTAATGAGCAAATGCAGTCATAAAAGAAAAACTACACTTAAACTTGGTTTCAGGTGTTGGTGTTCTAGAATGAAATTCAAAATTAAAGTTAAAGCTTTTTTTTTCTTCTAACACTGAATTTCTGTTGGTAAAACTAACAACAGTACAGTTGTTAAATAAGAGGCTAAGCTGATTCATTGTTTCATTTTAATTTCCTTTTAACTTTGTCTCATGTGCAACAAACTTGAATCAGATCAATGTTACGGTGTCCTACAAAAGCATTTGCACACGTTCATGTGCATGTCTGGAGAATAAAATACATGTTGACCTCCAGCTATTTCTTTCTTTTTTATTATAAGTTGTATGACACTATCCAACCTATATATATATATATATAATCCGCTTTTCTTCCAGGGAGAAAACCCAATCTACAAGGGCGCCGTTTCAACGTTCAAGAACCCCACATACGGAGGGAAGCAGTAAGAGGCCTGCACGCACTGAAAGAACGTATTGCGGCCTTTCACCATTGCCTGCATCTCCAGGCCAAAATCACAACTAGCAATCAACCAATTTACTTTCCCAATTATTCTGTCTCACGGCTGAGGAAATCATCATCATTCTCGTCATTTCTTTCTCTGTCGTGCTGCGTTGGTTGTATCAATCGCCCACTCTTAATTTATGTTCATGAAATGCATACCGGGACGTTAGGTTTAAATCGCATTTTACCTGTGTAGGTGAGGATCGGTGATTGACACTATTGCTTTGTCATCGTTACACCGCAACCTCGATTTGCTGTTATAGGCGATGCTTTGCCAGCCATACTTGTGTACGTGACGTTCAGTCTCGTTCCTTGCAATTGTTGTACTCATATGTAACGGCTCTTTTGTGTGTTAATGAAGTGTAATTAATCGACATGTGATGTTTGTGCATTTCTTTCTCTGAGAATGACACAAAGTACTTGCCAGCTCTTGCACTGTTAAAGCCACTGCTTGTTTCATGGTCAGGTGCCTAGCAGAGAGCTGCAGCTGATGAGAGTTGTAGAAGAGCTTGTAAATGACCGTTACTTTTATTGCGCATAGTCAGAGTATGGCTGATGCCGCAGAGACACGAAATACTTGTTGGCACACAGCCTTTTGTTGGTTGCTCTGCAGGTGCCATCTGGTGTCTAATCTTCGAATCTACCTTCATGTGCTCTTAATAATTATACCAGTTGTTTGTCTGGCACAAGCTGTTGCCCTATTAATCGTTGGCATTTGTAGGAATACTGGAATTTTTCTACGTCAGGTGCGACGGTGTAGACCTTTTGAGCGAAGAAATTGGAAGTCTGCGTTCTCTTTCTTCCTTTCTTAGTCTTTATTTTCCCAGTTTCGCAAAGCTTTTAGTGCAGGGGGCAGTGTGCAGTTGTAAGGCCAATTTTGTTTACTATGCTTACCTTTCTTGTCATTATGGTCGGCCATTGACCCCATCGTGGCATGTTGTCGTAACCCATTTGCACAATACTTGTCTGCACTGTGTGAGGTATTAAACAGAGCAGAATGTAATACCTATAAATTAATACCTGGTCTAAAACACGGCCTGACGGCTTAAGTTTGGTTAACATTTTCTTTACCAGCTAGGAGTTATGTACTTCAGGCATTCAGTTACAACGATTAGGGAAATGCTCATTTCTTGGTGTGTCATGGTGTGCCCTGGTAGTAGTGTTTTATTCACTGAGTGGCCTTAAATAAGTGATGCCTTTTTGCACTTTCGCTGCCAGTGTTGCTTACAAGTACAAACTAGGGCCGTTTGCCCTGAACCGGGTCTTTTCTGAAAAGTATTTTAAAAAAAAAGAAAATGCCTGTAGTGCCCGAGTCTAGAACTTTTGTTAGCATTTCTGTAAAACTCATTTTGGTTAACAACAGTGCTTCCTATTTTTCGAGTGACGTAAAGAAGGCTCTTACTTGCTGCATATTTTGTGAAAGACTTACGTACGTTATGTGTGAACAAGTTTTATGTATAGTCAATTTTTTTTTCTAGTGAAAAATGTTCTAAAAAGCCTCTGGCTTTCCACCCACCTCCCATCCTTTCCTGCCACTTTTTTTTCTTGTGTTAAACCATTTGTCTATACTTATAACTATAGTGTATGCATGTTGAAGCTTGCAAGGTTCGTAAAACACCTTTGGTCTTTTGTAGAGCTGTTTTGCCTTAATTTTGTCATGTTCAGTTTGCAAGTGTTTTTTTTTTTCATGGTGTATGGTCAACATTTTTCCTGAACTTAATAATAGGGAAGGTAGTTTTAGCACCGCATTTTTTTTAATCATAGAAGACATGGAAACTTGCATTTTCCGTCGCAGAGTATATTGGTACCTGCGTATGCTTACTGCCACTTGCAAGATGCAGAAGCATCACAACTGAGGAACAACAAGCCCAAAGCTGTTGTACATAGTAGTGCTGTTTTGTTTTTTTTCGAAACGCTGACGATCTCCCGCACATAACACTGGAGGCGCATTTATGTAGGGGGGACCAATGTGAAATGGAGTATCCAATATGTATTCGAGACAGTCTGTTGTCACTGGTCTTGATACGATAATGAAAAAGTTTGTTGGCACAGAACTGTCGAGGTAGCAACCGCTCGACAAGTGTATCAATAAATAGCATTGGGCCGTGCAGTGGTACTGTTGTTAGAATATTGCTGGATGCTCCCTTTCATATTGGACTACCCTGTATGTGTGAGCTGTGACTAGTGTGCTGCTACATTTACATGAATAATGTTGCAGGCACTTTGCCAAGCGAATGTGCAATACACCACTAGAAAGAAGGGCTATGTTGTGTGCAGTGTCTTGTGTAACACTGCACACGTACTGATAAAGCGCCTTTTAGCACCATGCCATATATGATAATGAGGCAAGCAAGTACTTTTGGCTTTTGGTGAATAACGTGTTCATCTATACAAATGTGAAAATCAACTTTTTTGGAAATCATTTCTTCTTTTTCTTGTAGTAAAAACTGATTTTAGTGAAACCAGTGTGCCATGTCTTTGTTTACTGACAATGCCTTATCACGGACACAAACAGTTATGAATGGGAGGTAATGGTATCGATGAGGCACAGGGAGAGAAGGAAGCAAAAAGTCTGTGATTTAACGTAAAGGAGGTTTTGGCTACACATTTCCTGACTGTTCAAACTTTATAAAGTAATGAATCTCTGATCTCTTTTACTCCTCCTTGTCTCTCTTCTATTTCAACTGTGACATGCCTACTCTATTGAAAGGTAGCAGATTGACCTCTTGGAAAATGAATTCACATTCGATTGCATTCATGACCAGCATAGAATTTCTCTTCAGTAGACTTCCATACCTTCAGTAAAAGCCATTTTATTGCTATGGCACTTATATGAACACTCTCGTCTGGTTTTTGCCGTCGCCGTCCTGTCCCATAAATGCATGTGTTCATGCGTGCATATATATATTATATATCATTGTGAGCACAGTCACTGACTTTACTTTAATCAGTGGTGGAAGTGCTGTTCCATTTGCTCCAAAGTGCATATGTTAGTAACTGCTCCAGACCTGCTTTGAAATGGTGTTGGGGAAACTAAAAACAATGAAGTTGAATCATGTGATCATTTAGCAAGCCTAAATGAAAATGAAAACAAGCTGTATATACATACAGCTTGTATAGTAGCTATACACTAGAATATTGACAATGCTACGCGTACTCGCATTTTCTGCATATAAATATATCTGATATAATTGTATATTTGTACCTTACAAGCAGACTATTTTGGTGAAATGCGTGCGATTCTTCTTAGTCGTACTAGCCGCTGCTATGACCACTTTGATATGCGAGTGATTGCATTTCGCCCTTTCATCAGCTTTGACCTCGTTTAATTCACAAAAACAAGCATTTTAAATGTTATTTTGTTTAGCTTGATTTTTAAAATTTCCAATGAAGCTTTTGCAAAAAATAAAAACAACACTTACTTGGTGTTCAAAGACCATTAATCTGTTCACTTACGATTCTTGCAATTTGCAGTGGTCATTGTATATGTTTAATAATAAACGTAATGTAAAAGTATGTTAATATGATGCATTAGACCCCAGCAGTTGTTTGGAATATTTTGTAGCTTTTTTCTTGCTCCAGTATGGGATCAAAAATCAAAATGTTGCTTTCATCACTGCTCTGTCAACAGAATGTGTCATCAGTGTGTGTAAGCTCAAGCTAGTCTCGAATAAGGTGGTTCTTCATTTTATATATATATATAATCTTAGATGCGAAGGCGTGTTTAATGTCGTACGTACGTGCATATGTGCAAACGCACCGCAACGCGTTCCCCTCACCGCAAGTGTTAGAGCGGTGCCAAGTAGGTCACGCCGCAGCTGCACAATGACGTCACTCTCTCCCCTGCAGCACGCTTGCAGCAACTGCCGGCTCCTCCGCTCGCTCGCAACACACTTCTCTCTCGCTTCAATCCTGGTGACGCGATACCTGTGCTCACATGCATGGAGTTCATCCGATAATTTTACCACGATACTGCACTGCAGTTGTGTAAGCGTGTGAAGGTGTAGGCTGCATCCATCTATTCAAAGCCGGCCTTAGATAACATGTAGTATGATACGCTATAGAGAAGGGCTACAGTTTTGTCACCAATACTGCGGGGTTCAAAGTAGCATCTTTATACAAAGCCCGCATTCCTCTTCAAGATATCTCAAATGTCCTACTGGGTATCCCTTAGTGCTTGTTGGCATTTCGAATGGAAGTGGCCGTATGAATTAGTCCGATAGTTTGAGACCGCGCTATCTTCTATGCTGGTGTCTCATCATTAGCGCATTCTTAGTTCTCCAAAGATGAATCAGATACACTTATTTCTGTTACTCCGATAACCCTAATGTTCGACTGCTTCATTGCTTAGTGCTTGTTGGCATTTCGAATGGAAGTGGCTGTATGAATTAGTCCGATAGTTTGAGACCGCACTATCTTCTATGCTGGTGTCTCATCATTAGCGCATTCTTAGTTCTCCAAAGATGAATCAGATACACTTATTTCTGTTACTCCGATAACCCTAATGTTCGACTGCTTCATTGCTAAATGTACGCAGGCTATATATAAAAACCTTTTGCTTGCACAGTGTCGTGAGAATTCTATGAAAAGTCCAACATTCATCACGTGAACGTTGTCACTCTGTCTAAAAAATGACACTCCGCAGGAAAGAGGGAAATCGACTTGTCGCCGAAGCAAGATTCTGTCAGTTCCCTAAAACAAAAGGCCTTCAATAATTTTTGTGCTGACTAATCCACATAGTAACGTCTTTAGCTACAAGAAATAGTAAAAAATCAGTGCTAATAACCTTATTCCTTCCCCCTCCTAATTTCCTTTTTTTTTGTGCTAAGTTACCCTACAGTTTATGGTCAGCACACACTCAAGCACATGCTACCATGCGCTCACCGTGATGTCATCTTGGTATATGCCATCATAGTCGATGTTAGTTGGCGCAGAGAGACCATGTAACATTTAAATATTAATTGTTTATGTACAGTGTCCCAGCTAAGGTTGGTGCAAAGAGATTATGTAACATTTAAATACCAACTATTATGTATGGTGTCCCAGCTAAGGTTAGCCAAGGTGCTGTTTATTTCATTTCTTATATTTTCAAATACACTGATGGTGCCCAAGTCACTGTTGCACAATCAGTAGGTATTCTTGGTGAAAGTGTAAAGATGCCGAAAGAAACGTATGGTAGTTCCAGATTACACTGCTTTGAAACCTGAGGAAGAGAGTAGCACGAGCACCCAGCGATTATCGTTAGTATAGTTTCGTCTGCTCCATTTACCGAAGTGTCGATTGCGCTAAAGTTTGAAGTAAGCATGCATAAAGAGTTCCACCGACACTAGTAGAATCTTGTCAGCGTCATACGAGCAGGAGGGTGGCCGCTTCTGGTCTCTGGTCACCAAAGATAGTGGTGGTGATGGTGAGCGGGAAAGGGGGAAGGGGAAATAAAGTCTGCCTCTTACATTGTCTTAATTAATGGAGGGAGGGTGCTATGACGAACCATCCTTCACCCCTCCCCCGTCTCGAAGGGGAACCCTGCGCACTTTTATGCTTGCTAGTAAAACTCGCATATTGGGTTTAGTTCGGCTCGAAAGCTCGTTTGCCAGCAAAACTCACAAACACACTACTTTTTGCTGCACTGTATCGACTTTCTGCTGGTTATTACAGTTGCGATATTGTAAAAGATTCAAGAGAAGAAACACCAAAAACTAGTTTATTATGGGCAAACTTGTGCCCTGAAAACTAGGTGCAAAAAAAAAAAAGCAGATCCCACGTACAGTGGGAATCGATGATATGTCAAGCACGAATGGGAAATGTTGATATGTCACTTTAAAATCAGCACAATGTTACGAGGTGGAGGTAAATGATGCTGTACATGACTTCTGTGTCATGATTATCATGTTTGGATGTGTCGTTCACCTTCGTCATCTATTCACGCCACGCGATATCAAACTTGGTATATGTGGAGCTAGCGAAACGGCCGCGAGCACGCTATGAGCATGGTATGTTATGTTTTTACCGAACACGCGTGTCAGGGTTATCATGTCTGCACCAATCATATATTTCATCATTGAATAAAGAATGTATACCCTATGATGATTATGCACCAATTGTCCAATTAGATAGCTCTATACATGGCATACTCAGTCCCGATCCACATTGATCCAACCAGTGCTCCACCGTGCCACCGAAAACAACTCACGAACAACAAGCCACTTACGTGCCTGACTTCACCGCCCGGTTCCTCTCCAGACAAAACGCTGATCTGCCGTCTTAATCGAAGCAACGACACACCAGTCGTCTTTGTAGAATATTTCGATGCCAGTATCAGCAATGAGATGGTTCACAGCTCAGTGGTATGTCCAAGGGTGGATACTAGAAAAGCCCCTACACGCGTTTTTCACCGGCTAGGTAGCAGACCCGATGTAAGGGCTTCAGATACAGGGACCTTTCAACCGGTCCCTATTAGACTTGATGCACAAATTCAACCCGTTTCTTTGCATGTGACGTGCCTATAGTGACATCAGCTACCCATGTTATGGCAAATCTTAGTCTTTCAAATAAAATAAAGAAAAAGAGAGAGACAGCTGCTCACTTCTTTTTCTTTTTCAGACTGTCTGCTCTAGCACCATTATTTGGCCTTGTGCATTAATAATACAACAAATGTACCTCGCAGAATAGTGAAAATTTTAAAACATACATCTATTTGGCTGCAAGGGAAGCTCAAATAGTGAATTTGTTTGCGTGTGACATAATAATCAATTTGATATAAATAGCTCATGACGGCTTTCATCCAGCTTCTCAGTTAACCAGCGTTGGTTTTTTCTTTATTTCTCGACACCGTTGTGTTGCATATGAGCAAAGGTAGCGTATTTTTTTTTTCTCGACATAGTTTCAGCATTAGATGAGGGGCAAGAGGGACGTAGTCATTAAGCATGTTCAAAAGAACGATGCAAACAGCGTGTTCTTTTCAGTTTTTTATCTTACTGTGGGGTATAAAAGTTAACATAAATTGTCAACATGACCACGCATACGCACTTTCAATCACGCATATGTTGCTGGAGGTGCGCGTTATTTATCATTCTGTTCGGGAGAGTTTGATGGCGCAACGTGTGTTCTGGCTTATCAAACGAAAGATACTTTTCTTAGACATACAGGCCAACAACTAGCAACTTTTGAACGGCTACATCGTCGCTCGATTAGCGTGTAGCGCAAGATAACCAACGTCGTTGATTCGCAACCGATTAATGCAAGAAAAGATTGAAGCACACGCCATTACTTCACTATCGAGGACGGAGGGGAGACATACCCCCGCCCCTCAAACACACCCTCACTTCTTGAAGCATGCAAAAAAAAAAAAGGTTGCTTCACCGCAACACGAGTGTGCTTGCGGAGGTGCACGCTTTACAGAAGAAAAGCTTTCAACATGCGCGAGAGATGTCGGCATGCAGCGCAAGATCATCAATGTTGATTCGCAACCCATTAATGGAAGGCACTGCGCCGTGCTCCCGACCGGGCTGCAGAAATTAGGTGCCTTACTCCTCTTATAACCATTACCACCACCCAATTAATGGAAGCAAAGATTAAAGTGCACGCCATGACTTCAGGCTAAGCGCTATTGGGGGTGAGGGTAGTTTCACACACTTAATTCTTGAAGCATCCTGAAGCTTAAGCGCACACACACACGAGAAATACGAGAGAGACACAAAGACTAGCGCAGTCCCTGTGTCTCTATCGTATTTATCCTCATGTGTGTGTGCGCTAAAGCTTCAGTATGCAACTCGACATACTCACAGTTACACTCTTGAACCTTACTTTGCACGTACTAATCTTTTCTTGAACTCGTTCTTTCCTCGGACGATCAATGATTGGAACGCGTTACCTTTTGAAGCGTTCTGTGATAACGAAAATCCTGACTTCGATAACTATGTATCTTTCCGTTTTTAACCGTACAACTCAAGATCTCAGACTGTCCCACGTTGTATTTGATTTGCATTCTCCGGTTGCAATTTGCGATTTCTTGCTGCCATTTAACTTTGTTCAAATGTTATCCTGTGTTCTACTGCCTTAACATGTTTTTATTGCTTGAACTTTCTTTTTATTTAAGTTACATTGTGAATCACTTTTTATTATGCCCCCCTGCTTGGTCTTTCGACCGCAGTATTCTGTAAAAAAAAAAGAAAAACCAACTAGATCGTCTTTCCGTATTACAGAAATTCTCGAAACATGCTAATAAAGTTGCTTCACCGCAACATAAGTCTACTTGCGGAAGTGCACGCTTTACAAAAAAAAAAATTAACACGCGCGAGAGGTGTGGCATGCACTTTCTGAATATATTTCTGCTTTTCCGTGAGTATTACATAAATCGAACCTCAAAGCGATATTCCAACTCTTGTTTACTCATTCACGTGTGATAGGTGTTTTCTGTCCAATAAAACCTTTAACTGCTCAATGTGAAACACACTTCAATGGTTTGGATTTGCTTGGTAACTGCATCGTTAGTCTTGCAGAGTTTTCTTTGACCGTTCTTAGGTTTCCCGCATGATGAATTCGAGGTCTTGCATCACCACCGCCTCGCAAGCATGTTGGACGGCCGAAAAGTGGGTGTCCCGTTTCAAATGTTAAAACATTTGTCACTTACCTGCATCGAATAGTCATGCTGCAAGCTCGCGCTACGACAGAAAAAATATAAGCGTTCCATCCAAAAGAGCTTGTAGCTAGGGATCTTTCGTGCAACTGCTCAGGTTCCGGAACGTTGCCCCCCCCCCCTCCCCCCATCTGATGTGACCGCCCCTAGCCGAGAATTACACCCGTGTTCTCCAGTATAATTAGCAGCGCCAAAGGCGCTAAGCTATTGCGACGGGCGTCCATGCCATGAGTACAGCGTTGCATTAGTATATCACTGTGCAACCATTTGTAATGTCAAGTCTTTCGGATCCTATGCTACAAGGCCTGAAATTCATATATGATGCGTAGGCGGAATATCTATCGGTATAAGTTTTGCAAGGCCAGGTTCTCCTGCAGTAGCTAACACCCCTCGTGGAGCTTTCTTTCATTCAAACACCGCATTCATGTTTGCAATCAATACACTTTATTTCGCTGCGCAACGCCACGCGCAGAACCAAAACTGCGAGCCCTTTCACGGTGTCGGAGAGGCCGACGCACGTCTCATTAAATTAGTGCCTTAAAAACCGCGGCGGTTGCTTTAAAATAAGTGTGAGAAATGGTTAGGATTCTAAAAAAGCGTCCCTGCACGTGTTCATTCCTGGAAGAGGACCCGCATCACTTGGAGATGACGGACACAGCCACCTGCGACAGTCCATCCTCGAGACTCTTTGAGAAGGCAGAGTGCAGGCTTGAGCTGCCGGGCGAGACGCAAACATTAGAGCGTCGGTGACTGCCGGCGCTGGGCGGTTGCAGAGCGCTGCGAGCTAGCTTGGTGTCGAAATGCCTCTTGGCCGAGCTCCTCTTGGCAGGTTCCATGATTAACATGCGGCACACTTGATTGTTGCAGCTCTGGAGGCGCCTGAAAGATGAACATCGGCGAAAGTGAACTCGAGAACTATGTGCACACATGCAACTTCAGTCGTGTACACGGAGGAGGACAACGTAAACTGCTAACAATAGAATCTCTCGGTGGAGGAGAAACAGAAAAAAAACACTATGCATGATTATGATTCAGGCACGCCGTATAATGAGCGTCTGCGTTTCGTCTCCATCGAAATGCGGTCACCGCGACAGGGTATCGAACCTGGATCCTCGAGCTTAGCAATAGAACACCGCATCCGCTGTACTATATATATACGACGGCGGGTAATTGGCAGGGAAGCAAATGGGAGAACTAGCTGGTTCACAATCCGCAAGATTTTTTTTACAGCTTTTACTTGCGGTATTCGAAGTTAATAACGGCGGCACGTGTTTTCACATTGTTACAAGGTCACAAAATTGCAATCTCGGTGCTTTAAATATCAACGAAAGCGTCAGTGCAACGAAATATTCCAATCGGACCAGTTGGTCGGGGCGATAAAGTGTGCGGTGAATCAACAGGTTTGCAAATGGACTATATGCAGACTAAGTATGGGAACTCTAGTATATTCTACACCCCTCTACGCAAATGCAGACATGCCATGAGGCGTGCGTGTACACATTGGTAAGTCACAGCAGATATTGCAGCTCTTAACATCCGCATGCTGCTGGTATCAACCACTGCAAAGCTACTCCGCGCGCCAGACCTCCCCAGCGGTAGTGAAGTACAAGTTCAGAATACAGCTGCAGTATACCACACAATTTATCGGACTTGCCTAGTCACCTTCTCGTCTATAATTGAACGCACTGCTTTCTGCTTCTAGGTTGAAACTTGTCACCGTAGTATGAAGGACGCTTGGTTGTTCGAAAGACAGCCACCTGCTGCAAACCGTTTGGATTCCCCTGTATGGTAGTGAACTATTACTAAATGGACGTGGCAGCAAATCTTTTACTCGCGGCTCCTTAGTATGAATGTACGGTAGTTTGAACAATGTTGACGACTGGACGAAACAGCGATTTCGATGTGATGGTCATTTCAAAAGGCTCGTGACGGATGCCTCGATGCAATTAAGGTGGCACGTAAAATAATGTATCTTTGTTTTTCGTAGAACCATATGCGACATACCCTTTCTTCCAGTACTTGTGAAATGTGACTCCGACTGCCGTGAGGAGAACTGCTGCCACCACCACCATGATCACTATTATTCCTGCGAGATAAGATGCATGTATCAAACCCAGAGCGACACCGTGGGCACAAATTGACTTACGCTTCATTTGAAATTGGCATCGATTTCCTATGTACCAGTCTCGACACCTTTAAAGATAAAAAGCATACGAAATTAGACGCTGACAAAAACAAACGAAACAAAACAATCGAAGCAACCGCGTAAGCTTGGTCTGTTGGATAATTTCTATATTAAGGAACAGTCATTGTTAAGACGGCACGGACTGACTGCCATTTTCAGCAAGGCTGCTTGATTGATATGCGAGGTTTAACGTAACAAAAGCAAGGGCTCCGGAAATTGCGACCACCTCTGGCTGCTTAATTAGCGACGGTAACTCGAATCACTTCAAATTAGGTTAACCACTTTCAGCGCAAAGTCAGTCGGGATGCCATCACCCCTGCTTACATAAGAACTTGTTGAGGAACGCGAGACGAGATGACAGCAAATAAGGCCGTGTCGTGGTCACGGCTTTTATTTGGGACGCGGGCGTAGGCGAGGTCGCAGTTGCAGCGTCGAGTCAGGCCAGGAGCATGACCTCCTCTATAAACTTACGACCTGCCTACCCTACGGAGGCGCATGGGCCTAAAAATTGACGCAGGGATCACAGATGCCGCCAAGAGTACCCCCATAGCAGACGACGCACGAACGTCGTGGTGTACTCGTGCGTGGGCATTCCTTTCACTGTTTTTGTAGTTTCTGACGCGTGGATCAAGCGATTCACAACGTCTCGAAGCAATATTCTAGCTTTGAAAAGCACCGTGGTGGCTGGCTCCGGAGTCTCCACTACCGAATCTATCTGCCCGACCACCTTAGTAAGAAAAAAAAAAAAGCAACCGCGCGAACGCACGTGCAGAAAAGCAGTTTGACGGCCGCATTGAGGGGGGTAAGAATTAGTGCCACGGCGTACTTTTCCTAGTGCTGTGGCACTTTAGAAAAAGTGAACTAAAATAAACAAGCAAAAGCAAATATAGCGACACGGGGAGCAGCGGCATGAGCAGTTCGTGGCCAGGAGCTAGGCCGTTCTCTTCCTCGTTGAAACTCGATGAAAAGCGACGTTGCGTGGTATCACGTGCAATACTTTGCAAAAGAACGCAAGAGGTAAAAGAGTCTAGTTTTGATGGATAATAGACTGCCAAAGGAGCGAGCCGGATGCTGTAACTCACTCGCACTCGATTCCAAAGCCGAGGCTCTTGCACGTTCCGTTGTTCTGGCAGTGACCAGGCTCGCATATGGCTGCGTGAAGAGTAACAAGTTCGAGTCACTTGTGGCTTCACGCTTCTGTATAGACCTATTCCAGGTTTGCGAACATATGAGCAGGCTCCGCCCAGCCCGAAGCTTAGCACGCCAGAGAGCATAGCACGCCAGAGAGCATAGCACGTCAGAGAGCATAGCCCGTCAGAGAGCATAGCCCGTCAGAGAGCATAGCACGTCAGAGAGCATAGCACGTCAGAGAGCATAGCACGTCAGAGAGCATAGCACGTCAGAGAGGATCCCCGACGCGCTGTGCTCGGAGTCGGCTTTTAAGATGCTGTGCCAGTTGTCACGTGATCATAGAGCCTTAGGGCTGGGCGGATCCGCCGTGCCGTGACGTCCCTGCGAGTGTCTAAATATATTGACTGCATGCGCATACCGCTTTTTAAAAAGATGGAATAGGTCTACAGCGTCACAAGTATAATCGCTTCTCGTGTGTCACTCACAAAAGCAGAGTTCTCCAGGATGATGCCCGGTGTCGGGAGAAACATCCTCGTAGCCAGGGAGACAACGGCAGCTCATGCCGTAGTCCTGCTTGCGGTACGTGCAGATGGCGTAAGGGCTGCAGTAGTTCGAATCACGGTCCTCGCACGGGTTAACGGCTGAAACACGAGACACGAAGAAATCGGGTTCGACTCTTCCATAAACCGGACGCGTAGAGCGCACATTGGTATCGAATGCTGAACAAATAACGAGACTCGAATTCAACAGGAAAAATAAAAGCGGGTTTACAGGTCTCAAGCAGTTTCCTATTCATTTCAGCTTAGAGCACCATGGTAAATGACGTGGCACCCCTTTGTTCCCATTCCATGTTTGTCGGCGCTCGCAAAAGCGGTCTTTTTTGCATTTCCTCAGCCATCCCTTCAAGCAAGTGTTCTTGACTAAACGCCAGGGCACCGCATTATAAATTCATGCTTTAACCGAAAGACTTCAAATGTCTTCACTTCCTATCCATGGGTATTTAAGTAAATGCCTTGAATGTAGTCCTTTCATGATATGGGGCCAAAGAACATGCGCCAGAAAACGTAATCACGAAGAAACGTGTGCTTTATATTTGGGAAAGATTTGCTTTGTTGCTATGTTTAAGTCTTCTCAGAAAAGGTCGTGTGAGATACAACATGCATAGCCAAAAGTACTTGGCAATAATTACCCACGCAGTACAACAGCAGAGTCATTTGAGGAACCCAGCCTTAAAACACGTACACAAAGAAAGTATTGACGACCATCCACGCTGGGAAGTCGAAATAATAAAAAAAAAAACATCTACTCGGGTTTCCTTCACGAGTAGATGTTTCATAGAAGTTAGTTCCCAGCTTGTGTGATCGCCAATACTTCACTTGTGTAGGAGTTTCAACGCTGTGTTCGTAGTTTTTCCTAGCAGTAGAATAGCATGTCACTATTCAAAGGGATGTCATCGGATCACTTCTGTACGGGTTCTTTGACACTGAATTCAAAAACCAATAATATGCGCTACGTACTACATCAAGCCCCCATTGTTTGGTGTCGCCTATTCATCACGAAGTGCTCAGAAGCAGTTCTGTAACTTAGTCACGTGCCTTTTTTAATTAGCTCTGCTATGTAAAGTGTTAGTTGAACATGCAGAAACTGGTTAGCCAAGCCGTGAATCTGTTACGAAACCTACAACCACTCGCTGTCAGCGACCCTAACCATAGGTTTAGTCTCATAAAAACTGCGTGCATCCTCTACAAATAAACCGCATGCTGCGAAATCCACTACATTCGAGAATTATGGCTCATTAAGAGTCTTTCCTTCGGCAAGCGTAACTGGTTAGTGTTTTACAGAGCTTAATCTACCAATTCAGTCTTGCGTATTCCCTTCGCTCACCATGCAACACGAGAAAATTTGAGCCCTCCCGTTTAAGAAAGTAAATTGACAACGTAAACTTGCCTACGTCGGCGGCCACAGTCCTCATGTTTGCGGTGCGCAGAAAGAGTCCGGTCGAGTTGTGCGCCGCGATGGCCTTCTGGATCTCCTCGTGTACGGCTCCAGAGACATTGCTGGCGAGTTTGTGAACCAAGGACGACATCACCACGAGCCTACTGCGAACCAAGAGCCCAGGACGGAAGCCCGTGACCTCGATGTCTATGACCGTGCGGGAGAGGATTTTGGAGCTTTTCACCAGACCCCAAATCTGCGAAAGAAACGGTGGGTGTTTAGCTAGGTGTCATGTTCGAGGGCTTATAAGCAGGATGATTTCACCAAGTGGTATACCGTTCGTCATCAAAAGGAGAAGGCAGCATTAGCAAAAGAAAAGTGTAGCAAGCCAGGAAACCGATAAGTGGAGAACGCAAGAGCAGAAATTTTATTTCTTGTTCACCGTGGCAGCTCTAGGAGCCTGCGAAGTGAGGAAGTAATTAAGGTGGTCGTCAGCGTTCGTCTAGGAAGCCTGGCTAGTTAACGCAGAAGCGGTTGCCGTCGTCGTTGCTTCAGTGGCGTTGGCTGGAAGTTCTGTGCCGTAGAACTTCCAGAAGGCCTGGTCCTCTGGCTCGTAGTGGGCTAGAGGAGGGAAGGCCAAGGGTTCAGCCTCTTCTCTTACCAAGTGCTGGGCGGCCGACTCGTAAGCCTTGAACTCGAGCGTCTTCTTGTCGGCCACTTCCTGGACGTACGAGTGTTCCGGAAGTTCCAGGGAGACGAGCAGCGGCAGCTTGCCTGCAAATAGAAAAGATACAGCGGTGGAAAGACGTGACGAAAGGGAATAGGATACGTGAAGAAGCTGTAGAGCTTAGACAGAGAAGTTGCAGAAGACAATACTGCGATTTGTACGAGGTCGTTTGTTCTCTTCGTTTAAGTCGCACCTATTTCGCAGAAGTACAGAAGCGAAGCTGGCCAGCTCACTAGGCAGCGACGAGTTAGCTGCTTCGTACCGAGGTGAAAGCAGCCCGTCTAATATATCTAAATTCCAAAAGCGTTAGCAACCTTCAGTAATCAAGAGTCGATAAGGGCTCGGAAGAGCGAGATGTTAAAAAGTGCTCACGTTCGCAAATAAGCGTTTCCGGGTTCCTGTAGAAGGCTCGGCCGCAGCCGCACACGCTCTTCATGTGCCGCATGACGCAGCGTTCGTTCAGCTCCAGATAGCAGTACCTGGCCGCGATGCAGTAACGTTCCCGGCTCATGTTGTAGCCGCTCGGCTTTTGGATTGTCGATGCGTCCGCGGTTGGTTGCGTCGTCGACACCGAGGGGACCGTCGATGAGCTGCCCCCAGACGTGGAGTCTTCGAAGAGGTCTAGATCCGGGAAGAGGCTTGCAAGGTACGAGATGTCATCCTCCTGCTGAGACCCTGTGATGGATGTTGATCCGGCTGAAGTCATAGTCGTGGGAAAGCCTGTCGTCGAAGTCGTGCGCGAGTCTGCCGTTGACGGAGCGGGTGTTGTAGTGCTGGATTCATTCGCGTCATCGGTGAAAGAGTCTTTGTACGCCAGTGAATCATACGAGACATCCGTGACAGAATCTTCGTACTCCAGTGCAGGCGTGGGAACAGCGCTGTCTTCGGACGTAGTTGCTTCGCTTTCCATTGAGGAGCGAATTTCACCTTCCACGAGGCCATTCACTGACGGCATCACGAACGTTCCCGGGAGTGCCGCCTTTCGAGTCTGCTGGGAGGTGGTATGCGGCGCAGTTGTGGCCATAACTGGAGGCTTCGTCACCTTTACGAATTGGCTGACTTTTGATGGGTACGCTGCCGTCGCGGTATTGGCATGGGCAGTCGCAGTCGGGGTATAGGAGCTCGAAGGAGCCTCGAAGATGGTGACAACTTTACGGGGTACTTTCGCCGTTGCGTTGTAGACCGGAGGACTCGTCGATGTCACGTTCTCTCCGGAAGCCAGTGCTGGAAAAGAAGAAAGAAAACACGTTCGTGGCGAAAAGCTCGAAAAAGGGTTGGTATGGTGGCAACACACTGAATACGCCTACCTCCGAGAAAAGTCAGCAGCAGCCAATACATGGTGGCAGGATAGCGAAGAGTACAGTGGGCAGTCTGCTGTCGCCGGGGCGTAAACGCACGTGTTGTGTTCCTTGTCGACCGCTTGCTGCTCTGACCTGTGCCCTCATTGGTGTTGGCCTTTTTAGCAACCTCGCGCGTGATGTCATTGTCACGTGCTTGACTTTTATTGATAAAATTTATCGGAGCCAGCTAGCTGGAGCTTATCCTATTTACTTCTATATTGCAAGCGAGCGCATGTGTGATTCCTTCACAGCCGCGCATCTTTTGCAATTTGCAACTTTCAAAGTTAGGCGAATTACAATTTCTTCAGTTTTACGTTCCAGACACCAATACGATGACGGGGCAAGCAGTAATGAAGAACTAGGGATAATTCTGAACACCTGGGGTTCTTAGCCGTGCGCAGACACAGCGCAAGTACATGGGCCTTCAGCGTTGTCCGTCCATGTAATCGTGACTGCCGTGAACGGGATCGAAGCCACGCATTCGGGATCTCAAGGAGCCAGTCATCGAAAAAGAAGGTGTGTGAATTTTCGGCCCATTCTCACATGTCCCCATACGCCCCCTCTTCCTCACCTGGCTCATAAGTGGTTGCGCAACAACAACAACAACAACAACAACAACAACAACAACAACAACAACAACAACAACAACAACAACAAAAGAAACATTTTTAATGAAGCCGTTAGCGCACACTGACCTTGATTGCTTTGAATATGCTGGTGCGTTGATTTTTCACCTTTAATAATTACGCATGCCGCTTTGTGCGAGGCATGCACTAATCTCATCAAGGCGTAAATATTGTCGCAGCTATAGTCCCAGTGGAAAGCTGTGCTTTACATTGACCTCTTAAGCTCTAGCTCGGAAGTGACAAATCGTACAACAATATGGCACACAGAGAGGCACACAAACGACTTTATTGACGGTATACAACGAGGTCGGTGAAATTAGCTTGCCGGTGGCCGAAAGGTGTTCGCCAGTAGCTTGACACAACTGTTGTTGGCCCAGCTGATAATTTCAGTAAGAATATCAATTGATGGCAGCAGTGACTCCCATGCATCGAAGGGACAATATGGTACGTGATGATGTGATTTAAAAACGCTCTTTGGTTACTCTATCCGGAATTACACTTAAAGAACGACAACAATTTATACCCGCAACAAAAAAGTGATAATGGCCAGCCGGAGCATAATTACGCTGCTAAAAGGAGCGGCGAGAATTATGAATACCTTGCTTATTTTTACCAAAATAAAAATCGATGAAAGTAGTAAAAAAGACAATGAATCTACTTTATTCATTTATTTTTTTATCTACAACACTTACCTTTAACGAAACGCACCCTACAACATGTGCACAAATGCGTAATCGCAGCAAGTCGCTAACACTCTTTCCTGTGCATTGAACGTTCCAAGTAGCGATTAGTCTACGTGACGGGAAGACAAACTACAATGTGCGTCAGGTGCTAAGTTGTTTTTTTTTTCAATTGCGAGGGCAAGAACACAAAACAGTGCACGGGATTATTCCTAATCCAGTATTCTGCAAAGCGCACAAATACTGATTATCTTAAAGGGCCCCGTAAGCTATGTCTGTATTTTACGAAGAACAAGTGCGCTATTCCTGCGTTTTCAGGCTTTGTGGCGGAGTTCGCGGCACCAATTGTTTGTTTACGTGACGTCAGGATGAAATAGGCTCCCGAATGGTTAATATATGAGAGGTATACTTGTTGTGAATTGTCGCCTACCTTGTTTCGTCGTGTGGTTGCATGCCCACTCAGTCTTGTCTTTCGTTACTGTCATGCGCGATGGACTTTTCTGCGTGTGCGACTGCGCAAGCGGTATTAGGAGCGTGAAGTCGAAAAGCTTAGCGCGGACATCCCACGTCTCTTGAGAAGCAATATGGAGCCGAGAGGGAGCTAGCACTTGTGAAAAGCGTCGTGAAGGTGAGCAACTACTGTCTCGCTTGTGATGACCCGCAGGTCGCGGGTTCAAATCCCGGCTGCGGCGGCTGCATTTCCGATGGAGGCGGAAATGTCGTAGGCCCGTGTGCTCAGATTTGGGTGCACGTCAAAGAACCCCAGGTGATCAAAATTTCCGGAGTCCTCCACTACGGTGTCTTTCATAATCAAATGGTGGTTTTGGGACGTTAAACCCCACAAATCAATCAATGTCTCGCTTGTGAACTGGGTGTGGTTTAAGGACCCCGTTAAGATTGAGTTTTTTTTTCCACTGTACCGAATAAGTAATCAGCTTCTGGCGTACAATGTGAACGCCTTCGTGGGGCGCAGAAAAAGACCGAGTGGTTCGAATGGGAAGCTAAGTTGTTAAAATATTCGAGTTGCTGGGTGCACGCGGGAACAAAGGTATGCTCAAGTGAATTCATATAATGTACAGAAACGAGTGTAGCAATTTTTTTCTACTGTCTCAATTCAGGAAAGCTTCAGACACGCCCACTTAGCTCCAAGCTTAAAATCTAAGACGAACGAGTTTGAACTGTTTTATTCGGTGTATTTACAAGGTGAAGTTCAGGGTACACAGGAGACGTCATTGAAAGATTCCGCCCAAGAAAAGCAGCAACGAAAAGTTCGCAAATCGTATGCTCAGTAACAGCTGTCTCACGCCTAACTAAAATACAGCGCACATTATTATTTTGGCACGCCTGAACTCGCCACTGCTCTGGATTCGTTTGATGATACGTTGTGAAAAGACATTGATGGTGCGATTATAAGATCTGGGAGGAACAACAAAAAGCTGGCCTATGCGGTGTGCAGAATTATGCATTCACGATAAAAGAAAATGGCTGCGCAAACAATAATATAAGACAATAAAATTACGCAATTTCTATCAAATTAAAGGGAACACTGCATGCGGCAGAAACAAGGAGACAAAAAAACTTATCTGCGTTTAGGTATGGTGCGCCACATGTTAATCAGATCTAACATTGCGTGAATAAGCAAAATTGTTTCACCCCCTCCACAATGCCTTTGGCGCGTGTGATATTACGAAAAAAAATCTAGGGCTTGTGAGGGATTCACGCGGGAGATAACTAGTCAGGCATTTGAAATTGATTTGTTTTTTTCGCAGGTTACTCGATGGCTGGATCACGCATGCGCTGAGATTGCCATATCTGTACGCTATTCCTCGACCATTCGACACGTTTCTTCATTCTTGCGCCTATGAAACGCCACACACTAATCGAACTTAGACGAGCAGTTACACTGTCGTCAACGTGAAGATAGATTATATAGGTGTTGAGCCTCCGGTTAACGACCGATTTTGCGACCCACCAGACCTACGTGCACAAGCAACCGCCGTTATAGAATTAGTGAACTTTATCTACCACACCTGTACAGCAATTAGTAAATTCCGTCTCGCTGTTTACAAAACAAATCAGTCCGCCTTCTGTCTACTAAATGCTAATTGCTCGTTTTCTGCAATACCAAGCCGCTTATTAGCGGATGTAAAAATACATTAGTTCTGTCAGCGTACGTCTTTTGTCCATCATCATCATCATCATCATCATCATCATCATCATCATCATCATCATCATCATCATCATCATCATCAGCCTGACTACGTCCACTGCAGGACAAAGGCCTCTCCCATGTTCCGCCAGTTAACCCGGTCCTGTGCTTGCTGCTGCCAATTCATACACGCAAACTTCTTAATCTCATCTGCCCACCTAACCTTATGTCTCCTCCTAATCCGCTTGCCTTCTCTGGGAATCCAGTTTGTTACCCTTTATGACCAGCGGTTATCCTGTCTACGCGCTGCATGCCCGGCCCATGTCCATTTTCTATTCTTAATTTCAACTATGATATCCTTAACCCCCGTTTGTTCCCTAATCCACTCTGCTCTCTTTTTTACTCTTAAGGTTACACCTACCATTTTTTCTTTCCATTGCTCGCTACGTCGTCCTCAATTTAAGCTTAACCCTCTTTGTAAGTCTCCAGGTTTCTGCTCCGTAGCTAAGTACCAGCAAGATACAGCTGTCATATACCTTCCTCTTAAGAGATAGTGGCAATCTACCTGTCATAATTTGAGAGTGCTTGCCAAACGTGCTCCAACCCATTCTTATTCTTCTAGTTACTTCAGTCTCGTGGTTCGGCTCCGCGATTATTACCTGTCCTAAGTAGACGTAGTCTTTTACAACTTCAAGTGCACTATTACCTATCTCAAAGCGCTGTTCTCTTCCGAGGTTGTTGTACATTACTTTCGTTTTCTTCAGATCATTTTAAGACCTACTTTTCTGCTCTCCTTGTCTAACTCTGTAATCATGAGTTGCAATTCGTCCCCTGAGTTACTCAGCAATGCAATGTCATCGGAAAAGCGCAGGTTACTAAGGTACTCTCCATTAACTCTTATCCCTAACTGTTCCCATTCTAGGCTTCTGAAAACCTCCTGTAAGCACGCGGTAAATAGCATTGGGGAGATTGTGTCCCCCTGCCTTACACCCTTCTCGATTGGTATTCTGCTGCTTTCTTTATGAAGCACTATGGTAGCAGTTGATCCCCTGAAAATTTCTTCCAGGATCTTTATATATACTTCATCGACGCCCTGATTCCGCAGTGTCTGTATGACGGCTGATATTTCTACTGAATCAAGCGCCTTCTCGTAATCTATGAAGGCTGTGTATAGTGGTTGGTTATATTCTGAGCGTTTCTCTATTACCTGATTGATAGTATGAATGTGGTCGATTGTTGAGTAGTCTGTTCGAAATCCTGCTTGTTCCTTTGGTTGATTAATTTCTAATGTTTTCTTTACTCTGTTAGCAATTACCTTTGTAAATAGCTTGTATACTACAGAGAGCAAGCTAATCGGCCTGTAATTCTTCAACTACTTGTCATCTCCTTTCTTATGAATTAAGATGATGTTAGCGTTCTTCCAAGACTCTGGTACTCTTCCCGTCAGGAGACGCCTCGTAAACAGGGTGGCTCGTTTTTCTAACACAATCTGTCCTCCATCTTTCAAGAGATCATATGTTTGTCTATATACTAAATGCTAATTGTTCGTTTTCTGCAATACCGAGCCGCTTATTAGCAGATGAAAAAACACATTAGTTCTGTCAGCGTACGTTCTACTTGAGTTAGCA